AAATATTGGGTGTAATTGAAAATTGACACTGTGTAAAACAACAACAGAACAAAAACAAAACAAAACAAACACCATTTTGTGAGAAGGAAAAAAAAAGATGAAAAAAAACGAATTAGGCATTTAAATTTTAATGAAAAGATATACAATGACAATAATAATTATGAGTAAGCACAAATTTGTATATACAGACAGACAGCAGATAGATAAGCAGACAGACAGTCAGACAGGCAGAGAGAGAGATAAGCACATGTAAATTAAAGACACAGACCTACTTACCGCATAATAACTCGGAGCTATTGTCCTTTGTTGTAAAGTTATGAATGATAACTTTTTAGTTGGCTAATTGTTTTTATTATTGTACAGAAAATGTATAATATATGGTTATCATTCAATGACACATACACATAGAGAGAGAGAGAGAAATGGCGACGAAAAGGCAATGAAATATATCTAATCAATAAAAATTATGATGGAATAATTTGTCACGCCCAGGTGGTTATTTCAGAGTACTGGCTCTTAAGGGTGCATATCAGTCACTCGACGATGACTCTGGGAGAACTCCCCGAGCAGAGAGTGCCGGCCGTTAGGTGTGGCTTACCCACCCCCATGATGGAATAATTTACTGCATGATTGAAACACTTGAGTTATTTTTTGCATTACGAGTTTGTGAAGATTGTTAGAGTTACACATCTGAAATCATGAATCGATCGATGTTAGACAACGATTAGAAACCTGGAAGCACTACTAGACAACCGTTTCGTCCTGGTATGGGACTACACTCATCAGCAGTGCGCATCTATTGATTAGAGAAGCGCTCAAGTTAGAAGAAACTTCAATTCAATCAATTGGATAGTAGCAGCAATATGCAACAAAAAAACAGTTTGACTGAAAATCATGTACAGAAATATGTATGTAGGATTTAACTACTACACTGAATCAACACAGTGACATGAAATTATCAAGATAAATGCCAAACGTAGTGATAATATCAGAGATAGCATGCAAAACAGTAGGGAATTGGCAATCTGATTACAAGAAGGAATGAGTAAGTGACATAAAAAAAGTAAGAGGAAATCTTTAAAACTTGAGATCTAAAGGAAGAGTATCATTATGGTCGATTCCAAGCCATACTAAGCAACTGCATTATCAACCACTGGTTATGATAATAGCAAGGATCCCAACCTAATAGCCTGAATCCATTAGCACAGTTAAATTCAACAGTTGATACCTACGAATTCCTCAGTATAGTCGAGATGAGATGAATTCTCTTTCTCTTGAAACACTCATACAATCAAGTGTTTAAAGCCTCCGGCATGGACATCCCACTTACAACCTTTATGAGGTAAGGATATCTTTAACAAAAATATGGGGGGACAAAAATTGAACATTCGGCGCTTAAGTCGGTTGACACAGAGTATCCATCTAGAGGAGTTAGTAAACTCTGATTCTAAACAAGTGATGTATATGCACTACGGAATCTTGAAGAAATGAATAATGCATAGACCTATTCTGGTAACGGACTTACACAAGATAGCATCCATTGTTTTATAGTCTACTGGATTAGACCTTGAAAACTAGGGTCTAGGCAGGAAATCAGACTACACGTAAATTATATTTGCTTATTATAGACTCAAGGCCGAAGCAGAAAAGGACAACCAAAGAACACATTAAGCCAAGAATTGGAAACAGATGTGAAAAGAATGAATAGCAATTGGATAGAAATGAGAAAAAGGTCCAGGACAGAGTAGGTTGGAGAATGCTGGACGATGGCATATGCTCCACATTAGAGGTAACAAGCCTAAGTAAGTAAGTAAGTAAGTAAGTAAGTAATTACTGAACACTAATCCAATACGAGGAGCATATTAGTTTAAAATAGCACAAGACAGCTCAACTTCCCAACTAGTAGTTCTAACAAGTTCAAACGGTAATCCACTTACTTTAACCTGAAAAACTGGACAATATTATTGATGTTGTCACTTAATGACTAAAAAATAAACCAGTACATTTGATCAATAAGTATAACTAAAAAAACAAATGTCATCATCTCATTACAAACCGGTTTCCTATTTTATTTATTATTCATCTAGTTATCAATCAACATAGAATTCATATTTGTCAAACTGTACAAAAACCATACACAGCAAATGAAATCAATTTATAAAGCGATTGAATTCAACACAAACTAAAAGAACTGATAATTACAAATCTCAATTAAACACATTTAAACGTTTCATGCAATACAATAATCCTCTATTTAGAAACTGAACTATCATTCAAAGTATCATTTCACTAAATATATATATACATATATAACTCATAATTCATTTAGATATCTTCAATGTTATCAACAGCATTCTTTTGTATCACTAAATAATATTTCTGTTATGATCAGTTGACTTCATACCAAAACAATCTATGGTCATATTATTGACTTTGAAAGCTTGTATATACACACGTAAACACGTCATTTTGATATACTTGAACTATTACGAGTTTACCTAGTCGGAAAACGAGAGCGAAGATCGAGGATCCGGCGACACGACATGCTACTCAAATCCGATCATGCCAACCCCCATATTGAGTAAAAAAAATAAGAAGACATTATGTGAGGTAGAACCTGTATTCTACAAGCATCCAGAAAGTACGAGGTCTGAGTCCATAAGAGAATCAGGATCCCGGACTAGGGATTTAGGACCGGGACCGGATCCTGGTCGTGGTCATAAAACGTTACACATAATGCGTATTTATGCATTTTGGTCGAATAGGAAACAGCATCGAAGTCTGTGACATTGACAGTTAAGACGACCAACAGGAAGCAACATTTGAAGTGACATTGATAGTCAGGACAACCAATAAGAAACAACATTGTAGCACGTGACATTGATATCTAGGACGACCGTAAAATTGACCAGTAGAAATTAACCAATAGGAATCGACCTATAATTCTCTTAGGATATTGGATGAATATCCTAACAGTTATCAACAGCACTTTTTTGTACCACTAAATAATATTTCTGTTATGATCAGTTGACTTCATACCAAAAAAATTCGTTGCCATATTATTGACAGAACTTGGAGGGGTCATGAACAACAATAATGATGATTGCATTACGGGGTTGTGGGTCGATCAATGTTAGATCACCGTTAGAAACTTGGAAGCACTGGACGGCCGTTTCAACCTGGTATGGGACTCATCAGCAGTGCACATCCACGACTTCTGCACCTCGTAGGATTCGAACCCAGGACCTGCGGTCTTGCGCGCGAACGCCTAACCCCTGGACCACTGAACCAGTATCAAACGGTGTCAATGTCTAACTTCAATCAATTCACGGAGTTGCGCGACCTCATGTAGCACCTCACATATATCTTGTACTTTTATCGTTGTTGAGCTTGTATACGCACGTACGCTTGGGTATTACTTGCCACCTACACATATAGTTATTTGACTAGCTGTATCGATTAACAGTTTGAATAATTCGATGTCAATATCGACTATACATATTTGAATTAAATCCGATATTTGTATCGATCATTAAATAATTTGAATAATAAAGAAATTGTGGCAACGACTCGTGTTCTCTCGTAGCGATCATCAAGACGAAGATATACGGGAAATCGAAGATAACGAAAGTATAACGCCACAATAAATTGGTGAGCCCGTTGAAAGAACACAACGCCGTTTCCTACGACTTCAAAGGAATACATCTCCGTCTTCATTTGATTTAATACTGTGGACTTTAATTACGTTTGTTGAATACTATTATCGTATTTTCATTTCACCTTTATTATTTCATCCATATTGTTGAAAATATTTTGACAATATTAACATTCACACGTAACGTCATTATACATACAATTGCTAAACTGCTGCTGTTCCGTAAGTCTGTTCTGTGTTGTAACATATTATTTCTTATTAACATTACTGTCTATCTATTTTCCTTCCGTTATTCATTAGTCGCTCTATTTGTGTATCACTTATTTGTATAAATATGTCCTCAAATAACGATACACCAAGTCTGTCACAAGTAGCGTCTGTGAAGTTCCATAATCTATCTATTCCTCCTTTTCAAGTCACCGACCCACACCTATGGTTTATTAGGCTTGAAAATTACCTTTCAGTTAATCGTATTATTTTACAACGAGATAAATTCGGCTACGCATGTGCACTGCTCCCGGACGAAGTAGCTGAAAGAGTTCGCGATGTTTTAGCTAAACCGGACCCAGATACACCCCCATACGACGAATTAAAAACTGCTGTCATAAAGGCCGTCTCGTTGACCGACCAACAAGCCCTACACCAACTCCTCAATCGAGTAGAACTTGGTGACAAGACTCCGTCACAACTAAAAAATTACATGAGGAGCATAATAGGCGGCAGAAAGATGGATAATAACATGTTTTATCAATTGTGGCTCCGACGACGCGCAAATTATTCAGCAAATCTTAGCAATTGAAGATACAGAAGTAGATATAGATCATATTGCGGAAATAGCTGATAAAATCTACGAAAGAATGGAAACACTAAGTCCACAGATACATCATACCACAGTTAAAACTGAAATCGAAGATTTAAAAAAAGAGATTCGCCATTTATCTCAAAACTTTTCCAAGCTAAATCTGAGAGAGAGACCAAAAAGACGATTACAAAGTAGGTCTCGCGACAAATCTTGATCACGCTCTCGCACAGGTGCAGCACCTACGGTATGCTGGTATCAACAGATTTACGGCAACCAAGCTAGAAAGTGCAGACCGCCATGCGGGTTCTAAATAATACAACAGGGAGACGGTCCCGCCGGTTGCCGGTAACGGCTGCGACAACTGGCGCAGCACCAGAAAACCATTCGTCGCGGAGCTAGTCATTAGTGAACACGGGTAGGTAATTGCATGATGGGGTTGTTGTTACACAATATTAGTAGTATTAATAAAATAATTCACTTGTAAAGTAGTTGTCTTCAAATAACTAAATAATTAAAAAAATTCAATTCAATACATAAATTTACCTCATGTAATGGATAAGCAGCTGTAAAAACTCCATCGGAAATTAGTTTTGTAATGCCTAAATTTTTTGTTGCCATTACATACAATGAATTAGGTTGATTTGATGACAATGCAGTTTCATCTCTTGGTTCATTATGACCTATATCACTATCACCTATAGAGGAGTGTATGTGTTGAATGACAAAAATGAAAGGCAGAGTGAGAAATTAATAATCGGTAAGATAAACAAACAGTTAGCACATAAATTATATAGATGACTTAACTAACAAAATGTTCAGTGAAAATGTGATAACTGGTATTTTTGAACATGCCTACTGTTCACTTAATCCGTCAATGCTGTAGATAAGAGAGCGTAATTCTCGGTGGGGATTTCATTTTCATTATTTAGAATTATCGATATCTATTCTTGGTTAACCATCATGCCCGCTGCACATGCACGCCGCTGCATTTTAAGCAGAACAAGGATTCTCACAAGAGCCAATATTGCGATCACCCCTGCCCCATACGGGAACGGGAACATGTTGTCTAGATTGGTCTGCAGATAAGTGGACGTCCAAAAAGCACGCGCACGAGCAGTGGCCCCCGTTTGGGCACTTATGAATCAGCAAGATCCCTCCAACCAGTCCACTACCCACAATCCCCAATCGGCAAGGGCGGCAAGGCGGGCTTTCCCAGCTAGACCTGGCGCCTCGAACGAATTACCGAGCCACCCAGCAGTGCACTAACCAGAAGCCGTTCCAACCATCTGGCCTCCAACTGCCTTGCGCTGATACAATCGACCGGAGCCCTCAGACCCCACATGAAGCTAAAGATCGAATTTGTCCCACAAGGTCAGCCGGAACGTACGCATTCCCATATCATTTATGAACATACTACTGCAGTACACCATGCGAACAAAATGACAGATACAGCTTGAAATGAAATCTCCAGTGAACATTATGCTCTTTCGTATATAGAACTTAATTACCGAATGAACGAAAAAATGCAAGATGTTGCACATGTATTGGACATTGAAAAACAGATGTACTAAACATTCACAGAAACGTATCCTATTCTCTAATAAACAGACAAACAGTTATAGTTATATTGGTTTATTCAAAGGTTATTGTTATTAACAGATATTATGACACGATGACAGTTAAGATAGAATTTGAAGGAATGACAATTGAGCACTCATCCAATGATATATTATATATATCAAACAAATTATTAAATTTGACTGTTAAACCAATTTCGGTTCAACGTTAAATTTTTGAAAGCATGAATCGATCAATGTTAGACCACCATTAGAAACCTGGAAGCACTGCACGGCCGTTTCGTCCCGGTATGGGACTCTTCAGCAGTGCGCACTCATGGCTCCTGCATTCCACAGAATTCGAACCCAGGACCTTCGGTATTGTGCGAGAACGCCCTAACCGTTAGACAACTGAGCCGGTATCTAACAGTGTTAATGTCTAACTTGATCAAATTCAGTGAGTTGCGCAACCTCATACACAGTCTTCGGTAGCCATAGCCTACACCCGAACAGGTTGAACTTCACTGGTCACGTCTTCCCACTAGAACTCGGAGAAGATTCCTCACGAAGCTAGTCACTAGTAAACACAGGCAAATTGCATTACAGGGTTGTGAAGATTGTTAAGTTACACATTTTTGAAACCATGAATCGATCAATGTTAGACCATCATTAGAAACCTGGAAGCACTGAAAGACGGCCGTTTCGTCCTGGTATGGGACACTTCAGCAGTGCGCATCCACAATTCCTGCACCCCGCAGGATTCGAACCCAGGACCTTCGGTATTGCGCGCGAACGCCATAACCGTTAGATTAGTGTTTGGTGGAAATCAAAAAAGGAAAACAATTCTTATTTGTTTTTAATACAATCATTGATGATGAAGGAAAACTAAAAAGAAGTTAACGAGGAATTATTGAGTAGTTAAAATATTTACATCTTAATTATTCAATCAAAGATGTTAAAACACTAATCCATCTACTTTTCTTTGTACAAAAGATAAGTGATTTTATACTGTACATTTCAAAAAACCAAACTTAGTAACCCGAATATACACGGAATTTGCACTGACTAATTAATTTAACATCATTATTACACGTTCATCTACGAGTTAATTATTTGAAACAAGGATTATTATTATTATTATGATTAAATACGGTTGTTGAGTTAGTTTTTACTGATTACACAAAACCTTGTCTAATTTGTTTGTAGCTAAAATCGAAATTATTAAAGGTCATACATAGTTTGAATAGTTTATCAATAAAATAAGCCTCATTACGGTCAGTCTAAAATCAAACATAAAACACACAGCAAAATGATACATTTTGGTGTGTGTGTGTGTGTGTATTTTTTCTTATCAGTAACCCTTTTTTTTGTGACAACAGGTTGTTTTTTAGTGAAGCTACAGTTTTTTTTATCTAATCAATCTTTATTTGATAATGATAATATATATCGTATTAAAAGTAACTTAACCTGAAACCTAAAGAATCTTAGGTTCAATTCTGGTAGAGTTGCATTTATTGTACTGCTAAGGAGTTCGTTCTATACTAAGATAAAACAATTTTCTAGTACTTTCTCTGATGTTCATTGATTTTCTAAACAATATTGATCTGTCACATAAACTATGGTATTTATTATTTGAGTAAATGAAGAGGAGTATTCGATGAGATAGGTAGAAATATGTGGAATACCTGGAAACGATAGCAGAAAAAGTTGCAAGAGAAGGAAATTTGAGGCAACCAAACGATACAACGGATAAGGTGGCTGGATGGCAAATCAGAGCGACCAGTCAAAAACAAAGAAAGCGAACTAATCAACGAGAACCGAGAACAGCGAAACCGGTGGTTAGAGCATCTTGAAGAAATCTTGAACAGAGCAACTTCACTGAAACCAAAGGTCATCCTAACAGCAACTAAGACGTTCCTAGATATATAACCCCACCAACAACCGAAAAAGTCAGCATCGTCATCAGAAAAATCAGGAGTGACAAAGCAGAAGGACAAGACATTATACTGAGGCACTGAAACTAGACATAGAAATAACTGTAAAGAGGTTCTGTGATCTCTTCAGCACGATTTGAAAGAAAAAACAAGAACCAACAGACTACAAGGTAATACGTTCCTAGAAAGTGTGAGAACTAGAGAGGCATCACCTTTTTATTAGTGTCAGGAAAATCTTCAACAGAGTGTTGTTAAACAGAATAAAGGTTCAGTATACACTCAACTTCCAGATTGCGACACTACGGGTCATTGTAGAACAATCAATTGAATTGGACTCAATACTCTACACATCAACTTCCTTGACTACGAGAAAGCATTCGACAGTGTGGACAGGATAACACTATGGAGGCTTATTCGACACTACAGCGTGCCTAAGAAGAAAGTCAACATTGTACCGAATTTCTACGATGTATTATGCTGAAAAGCCGTGCGTGAAGGGTAGCTCAAAGACCCATTCCAAGTAAAAACCACTGCCAAACAAGGTTGCTAACTGTTACCCCCTATCTTCCTCCTTGTGTTTGACTGGATTATGAATACAGTGACATCTGGGGGGAAGCATGAAATACAGTGGACATCTCGGATGCAGCTGAACGATCTGGACTTCACAGATGATCTAGCCCTTCTATCCCATAAACAACAAATGCAAAAAACGGCCAGTGTAGCAGCAGTCTCAGCAGCTGTATGTCTCAACATACACAAGGGGAAAAGCAAGATTCTCCAATACAACACAACATGCATCAACCAAATCACATATGACGCAGAACCTTTGGAGAAAGTAAAGACCTGTACATACCTGGACAGAATCATCGATGATCAAGGTGGATCTGATGCATATGTGAAGGCGCGGACTAGCAAAGCAATGGCAGTATATCTACATTTGAAGAACAACGGAAACTCAAAAATACTGCCAACCAACACTAAAGTAAGAATTTTCAATACAAATGTCAAGAGAGTTCTACTGTATGAGGCGGAAACTTAGAGAAACAGGAAAGCCATCATCCAGAAGATACAAGTTTCTATTCACAGTTGTCAACGCAAGATACTGCGGATCCGTAGGCTAAAAACCATCAGCAACAAACTACACTGGCAGAGAACAAACCAGATTTCAGCTGAGGAAGATATAAGGAGATGCTGAAGTTAGATATGTCACATTTTACATAAGTCATCAAACTGAACCACAAACACAGCCATAACTTGGAATTCTCGCGACAAACGAAAAAGAAGACCAAAAAGTACATCGAGCAGGGAATCGGAGATAGACATAATAAAGAATAGCACTTGAGAACAATTGGAAAAGAGAAGCCAAGACAGTTGATTGGAGTCAGTCAGTTACAACGTATAACTTCGTAGATAAGTACAGCAGTTCAGGTTGCCATACTATATTAGCACACAGACGCAATTGTCAGTTCAAATTCCATGATAATAAAGGTAATAGAAGTATTAGCGGTAATGGAGAAGATTAGTGTTCGAAGAAATTATTCAAGCATTATAATCCAGTGAAATAAATTTACAAACAGGAAGATAGAGGTGATGAAGAATTCAGAAGATAACAATTTGAGAGAACAGAAAGAGTGGAAGCACCTGCACCATTGCAAACGATTTTGAGCCATGTCGTTCAAGGTCTCTAATCATTGATTACTATCATCTCGCGGACACCAACCAGGTAGTCTACATCTACCAACATCACTCAATCCACTTGTCAGTGACTTCATAAATTTCTGCCATGTTTTGGTACGGCAGCCCCCATCTTTCTTCCAACCTAGTCCTACACCACAAAACATAGCTCGTCGAGGCAGTCGGTGGTTAGCCATAGGTCCCAACCATCTCAAATGATGAAAATTCACTACTTCATCAATTGATATGCCATCCCTACCTAGTACCCGTTTCTTAACGACAGCATTGCCCACTCGGTTGTCCCACAATACACGAGTTATGCTTCTAAGACATCTATGATCGAATACTAGTAACCTACGAACATCTCCTACTCTTACCGGCCATGTTTTGCATCCATATAGGAGAACGGAGCAAACTGCTGCTCAGTACACTCGTCCTTTGGTTAGCAAACGGATATCTCGCCTACGCCATAAATAGCGAAGGTTGTCAAAAGCCAATCCAGCCTTCAGCAGTACGGCAGCAGTACAACTTCGCCCTCACACCCTGAGTAGCTGCTTTTAGTCTTATCGTTCTGCAATCGTCCTGCCTGGCATGGTAGAACCTATAGGAACATATATGTTTCATCCAAGATAGCTCAGCCGGGTCATCACGATAGACAAGCCCGACCACCACGTCAAGGTAACAGCTACAGTCATGGGTTGATTGGAGATCGCTGGTTGGTGGCCTATGATCCACGAGCAGTAACAGGAGTTCAAACATAAAAGATATGAAATTCACTCTATTTCATAAAACACTGTCCCTATCTCTCTCTCTCATGAAGGTTGTATTTCAAGAAAAAATTACTTAATAATCAATTCATAATCATTGGAAAAATAAACAATGCAAAATAGGTAATTGATCAAAAGAAATATTATTATAAATTCATTATAATAAATACCATAAATAGATGTAAAAAAAAATCTTACTATTATTAGGATCATATACAACGTCTACATTGACTAAATCCTCTGATTTATAACCAGTACGACGTAGAATATAATCTAATACAAGAGCACGTTCAACTGGTGTGAAAAATTCATCTCTATTTTCTGGTATATCAAATCTATAATTAAATTGCAAAAAAAAAAATTACAATAACATATATAATATAATGTCATAGATAATTCAAGCTTCATTTGTGCTAATTCACAAAGAACTCACTCATAACTAGTAATATAAAATGTGATAGTAAACTATATCAGAAAATGGGATCCTATCTTCAAGAAATCTCATTAAAAACAGCTAGAGTGACAACGATATATAAAATCTAGAAAGAATCTGTACTGATTTCATTTTAGGCAACATAAGTCAAACAAAAGACGAGAAGAGAAATTACCAAGAAGAGTAGTGAAGCAGATGATGAGTTTATATCAACTGTGATCAAAAATCTAAACTTCACAAAACAAGAATCTAAAGGAGCACACTACACTGAACTCAAGATTTAGGGGAAGTAAGAGAAGGAATTTAACCACTGGGTCCATTATGTTATTCACCACGAACCATCGATGAAGATTATTATTATTATTAAATGAGCTTCGATAAAGAAGTCTATAGCTACCAATAAGATATCACATCAGCTGTAAGTGGTTTTTTATAGACTGATGACAAGTCTTGATATGTATGTAAATCTCAAATTTCTATCCAATATAGTCTTACGTCAGTCAATTATGTTGTATGATTCAATAAGTGGTGGTTATGCATGCTTAACTCTTTCCTAGCTCCTCATCAACGACACAAATCCGCAAAAATATACGAAATTTGAGAGCCAAAGTCTGCTTGAACTCATCGATCTATGCTTAACAACGTATTTTCAATTCAACAACAACAGAATCTACAAACAGACAAAAGGAACACCGATGCGATCATTAATATCAGGATTCATTGCGGAAGCTGTAATGCAGAGACTAGAAGCGTCGGTTTTACCAGTGATCAAGCCAAAAATGTGGGTTCGCTATGTAGACGACACATTCGTTATTATCAAAAGAAATGAGCTGGAGAACATGTACAATCGGATTAACAACGTTTTCGATGACATAAAGTTCACGAAGGAAAAGGAATTAAAAAACAGTCTATCATTCCGGGATGTACCAGAACTAACACAGGAAAACTGGAAACTCAAGTATTTCAGAAGCCAACCCACATAAACCGAATCCTCAACTACGACAGCAACAACTCAAAATCAACTGCATATAAACTTTGTTCAAGAGAGAGAAGACACACTGCAGCACATATGAAGCACTAAAAAACGAGGAAAAACATCTTCCAACAGAACGGCTATCCAATCAACTTCATCAAAAAACGTCTACTGAAATCATCAACAGAAGCAAAACCAAGTACAGGAACCAATAAACGGATCATCCTACCATACATAAAAGACATATCGGAGCATACAGCACGACTACTGAAACCATTTGGAACAGGTGTGGCACACAAACAAACAGAATCACTTAAATCAATCCTGCGTAGACCAAAGGACAAAATGACAAAGGAAGGAAAACCAAATATCATCTACAAAAGAAATTGCTCAAACCGTGAAAAACATTACATAGGACAAAGTGGACAGCCTCTTCAGCTCCGTTGACGTGAACACCAATGAGCAGTCAAACGCCACGACAATTCTTCGCTTATACACACTGACAATTATGGGCATGCATTAGATTGGAACAATGTGGAAACACTGGATTGGGGGAGCACAAAGGACACTCCAGAATTTTTAGAAGCTGAAAAGTTGTAGGTAAACATAGGATCAAGAAACAGGTCAAAAGGGGGTACAATCAAAATAAAGGTGCAGATAACGACAGATTTAAGGTCAACAGCAACCAATCAATATCGAGGTTAACAGAATAAGCTACAGGTCAAATGTGGAGAAATTCGAATACTCCACTTTTATATTACATTTGTGCTGATGATAGTCTTCAGAAGAACAACGTAAGCTCCACAACCGAAACATCCAGCTCAGAGAACGAAACATCACAACAATCATCCACCTGAGCTAGAAATTTTCTCCACCATCTCGAAATCGAAATTCCTTGGTTTGATCATAGGTGGGATCATGAAAGGGAGCTGCATAGAAGCTCCATACTAGAACAAAACAGTTATTTAATGTCCATTGGTTTCTATTAGTTACGTACACTTTATAATGCTAACAAAATATACAACAGCTTACAAATATTGTCTATTCAATGAAAATGGCCAAGTATAACATGTATCCATCCGTTTGATAATGTTTTCATCTAATCGTATACATTTAAGAAAATCTTTCATAACAGAAGGTTTAGATGATGATGAATTCTCCAGCTAATTAGAGAATGAAAACAAAACAAAGGAATAATGAATGGGTGAATGAATGGTCCTTTTTAATGAGTAAACTGCATACGAATAAAATGGATGAACTGCGAAAAGATATGACATTCAGAATTTTGGGGCAGAGTTTTGGAGGTTTGCGTTTTTACACATTTGAAATCATCAATCAATCATTGTTAGACCATCATTAGAAACCTGGAAGCACTGGACGGCCGTTTCGTCCTGGTATGGGACTCATCAGCAGTGCGCATCCACGACTCCTGCTCCTCGGAGGATTCGAACCCGGGACCTTCGGCATTGTAGGCGAACGCCTTACCATCGGACCACTGGGCCGGCATCCAACGGTGTTAATGTCTAACTCTGACTGATCTAGGGATTTTGCACGACCTCACTGCGCACTGCTGATGAGTTCCATACCAGGAAGAAACGGCCGTCCAGTGCTTCCAGGTTTCTAATGGTGGTCTAACAATGATTGATTGATGATTTCAGACATTCAGAATGCCTATTTCAGATGTATCTGAAATTCTATAGTCCATGTTCTTATTGAGACTGGAATTTATGATATTTTCAGGTTCAAACATAAATCAACACACTGTTCACTTAAGTCCAGATATAGCCACTGACTTGTTCAGTGGTGTGTATGATGTCCTATACGATTGTCAAAAAAGGTTTGAATCATCTCGTTGTTGGTAGTTAGAACATGAAATTTGATTAGTTCTCACAAGTAAACACATGCATTTTATGTGGATTGTTTCAATGTAGTGATTTTGTCACAGGTTTGATAAAATAGATAAATGATATACTACTAATAGTTGAAACGAAAAACGACCCATTGCTGATACGCACATTGAATTAATGAATATGACGTGAGATTTATGATATTAGAAAGTATTACAATAGTTATAATTTTGGTATGGATAGAGTGAATCATGAAATTCATTTACAGTGGTAGATACAAATGAAAAGTTTTTTATTCATAAGAACTAAAAAAAATCGAAGAGCAATAAGTATTCATTTTAATTTCAGGAATAAAGCTCAATGTATAATGCAATGATGTTTGAGATGATAGGTGCTGGATTAATGCGCGAACTGTCAAGACTAGATGGAAAAGATATAGTTTATGTACGAAACATGTACACATAATCTTGAGACATTCAATTGCAATACAAGCCGTCTATTGACTGTCTTCTCTTACATTGCTTCTGATTTTCGATTTGGTCTGATCAGGTCATGAATTTCGATCGCCAGACATTGCTTTCTCTGGTAGCAACTTTTGAGCGACACTCCGCTGTATAGTAGTTATATGATACTATTGTGAGTAGCAGTCATTTACATTGGGTTCGAGTTTTTATGTGAACATGAACACTGGAATGCAAGTATAGTCAGTCAGTCAGATGCAACGTAGAACTTCGTACGTAAGTACATCAGTTCATGTCGCCATACCACAACAGCACAGAGATATAATTGTAAATTCAAATCCAATAGTAGAAGAGGTAGTAAGGGAATTAAAAGTAATCGGAGAGGTTAGGGTTAGAAGATATTATTCAAGAAGTATGATTCAGTGAGAAAAGTTTAGAGAGTCGAAACTAGAGGTGTTGAAGAATCCAGAAGATTAGGATTTGAGAGAGCACAAATAATGAATGCAGCTGCGCATGCAAGTATATCTAGTTGACAAATCAAAAACTAAACGAGGCGCGCGTCCTGGATACTGGATACTACCACTGGTATTCATCATTGTCTAGCTTTATTAAGGATTGAAGCTTTCAATATCGATGGCATTTAGCAGTAAAATATCTTTATAGTAGATGAAGAGAAGTTGTAAACCGTGTTAAGGCTAAATGGTATGATTCTGCAAGCAATCTAATAGTAACACTGTTGTACATATATGCTGTGATGTTCTTCATAAACAATAAAATGTATATGCACTAAAAGATGAAATTCTTTATGATTACATTTTCATTGCAAGAAGATGCTTTTACTGTATATATTATATATGTCACATGATTGATAGGTCATGCAAATCACCACACCCACATACATTCATTCAAGTTAAAATTGACAAAAATCCAGATGAGTGATTGTAAATACTAATAATGTTGGTCAAATTTGTAAAGTACACAACTACAACACAATATAATTTTGAAACAATGTTAACTGATTTCTGATGTATGAATGGATGAAAAAAAGAAAGATATATTTTATCAGTAAACAAGTCATAAGATGATTTTTGATTAGAACTATACAACTATGTATGAAATACTTACTAAACTATTGCTACACCTTTTGTTAACCTCTTCTTACCAATATATTATGCCTTTGATTGATTTGCATTACGGGGTTGTGAAGATTGTTAAGTTACACATTTTTGAAACCATGAATCGATCAATGTTAGACCATCATTAGAAACCTTGAAGCGCTGGACGGCCATCAAGTTCTGGTATCAGACTCATCAGCAGTGCGCATCCACGACTTCTGCACACCGCAGGATTCGAACCCAGGACCTTCGGTATTGTGCGCGAACGCCTAACCATTGGATCACTGAGCCGGTATCTAACGGTGTTAATGTCTAACTTGATCAAATTCACGGAGTTGCGCAACCTCATACACTGTATACATCCGAACAGGTTTGAACTTCGCTGGTCACGTCTTCTCACTAGAATTCGGAGAAGATTCCTCAAGAAGCTAGTTACTAGTGAGCACAGGTAATTTGCATTACGGGGCTGTGAAGATTGTTAAGTTACACATTTTTGAAACCATGATTTCTCAGGAAACTAGTTATTTTGGCTGCGTGAAGTAATTTTTTTAATCCCCCAATACAACCTGATGCAGGATGTATAATAATAAAAATAATTAAGGGTCACAAACTGTTAACGATAGAATCATAGAAAACTAGCATTGTTGATGAGGCATTCACTATGTTTGATCAAGTAAGAAATAGACCAAAGTATTGTGAATTAAAACCAAAGCCATTAAAATAAAATGTAACCGTAACGAAAGAACCCTAATGGGAAGAAGGTTGTAGTTCGTTGTATTTACATACAATACTGAAAGACTGAATAACACAGAAATCTAACGTGAATCATTTACTGCACCATGAGATGTCTATCATTTGAAGGATAAACATGATACCGGCATGTCAAAACCTTAATAATTGAAGCAAAAATTAAATCGATAGCTCACTAACTAAACTATCGTTTAATTAATCGATTAGGTTTGCCGCATTCCATCTTTAACACTGGTTGCACGTAAAAGATAGAAGTTGTAGTTAACGAGAATTAATTCAAAGTGGGAATAGAGGAGAATTTATGAAACAATTCAAAGAATAGATGACAAACTCCAATACTACTGGAATTGTATACGTAGATGGCACTTCCCGGTTGAGTTATGTTCCGCAGCGTCCGACACAAATACACACTCTTCCTATAGGCTAGTGCAACCAGCTATACGAGTGAGAAAACCAAGAAGCGATTAGATTTTAATTGGTAGGCTGGATGAACACGGCTTACGATATTCACCCAATATCCTAAGAAATTATTGGACAATTCCTACTGGTCAATATTATGGTCTCACTAGATGTCAATGTCAAGTACTCCAATATTGTTTCCCATTGGTCGTCTTAACTGAGAATGTCACAGACTTTAATGCATTTTCCTGTTCGACCTAACTGTATAAATACACATTAGCTGCAACGTTTTATGACACGGACCCGGATCTCTAGTCCGAGATCCCGATCCTCTTCTGGACTCGGACCTAGTACTTTCTGGATACTTGTACAATACATGTTCTACTTTATATCAAATCTTCTTTTATTCAATAGGGGTTGGGATAATCGGATTTGAGTAGCATGTCGTGCCGCCAGATCCTCGCTCTCGTTTACTGACTAAGGTAAACTCGTAATAGTTCAAGCATATCAAAACGACGTGTTTACGCGCGTGCGTTACAATAGGTTCACAGGTTATCGGTCTATATGCATTTTTATGCCTAACTTAAACAATCACATGTCTGCAAAAACCCTTGACTGAGAGAGAACATAATAGACTTACCCAAATAACTTATCCCATCTAAGAAATTTCTTACGCTTTGGTCTCGAGATGGCACGTGAACTCTGATACGTTATATGCCCAAACTTACTCAGTCTATCAACACTATTTTTTTAAGAATCTGAAATTAGACATAAGTTTTCCAATTAAACTATCTCAACCAAATTAACATAAACGGTGAGGTTGGTTATTGCGTTAGAATAGCTGTCAGAATTTATACGTGACTTGTATAGACGCTGACGGTACACACATTCATAAGATAATCAAATTTACACATTTGAAATCATTAATCAATCATTATTGTTAGACCACCACTAGAAACCTGGAAGCAATGGACGGCTGTTTCGTCCTAGTGTGGGACTCCTCAGCAGTGCGCATCCACGACTCCTGCTTCTCGCAGGATTCGAACCCGGGACCTTCGGCATTGTAGGCGAACGCCTTACCATCGGACCACTGGGCCGGCATCCAACGGTGTTAATGTCTAACTCTGATTGATCTATGGATTTTGCGCGACCTCACCCATTTGTCTGTGGTAGTGGATGCGCACTGCTGAGGAGTCCCATACTAGGACGAAACGGCCGTCCAGTGCTTCCAGGTTTCTAATGGTGGTCTAACAATGATTGATTGATGATTTCAAATGTGTAAAAACGCAAACCTCCAAAACTGTGCCCCAATAATCAAATTTGTCAAACTAGCCTTCAGCTACACAATTAATAGAAATGATTCACAACATGTGTATACAAAAATGTGGATATATATATATATATATCATGTTCATGCTAGTTCACTTATTTGTATACAAAATAGCTTAAGCATCATATCACAAATGAAATAAGCAGAACACAATCGATGCATTACATTCAATAACAAAAAACTTCACATCACTGATAAGATGATTAAATAAACCGGAAAAAAAAACAATTTTAAAACTATTTTACAATGGAAGAGACTAATTGAAAAAAAACTACAATGCAATGCATAACTACTTATTTAAATAAAACACAATTTATCATTTTTCTTAAGATTTTTATTAATTGTATGAAAAAAAAGCCATTAAATTCCCACTCATCTACAAGTTTCATAAAATCAGCAAACAAAATGAAAACATTAAATATGTTCACATTTTCAAAAGTCTTTAATAGATGAAACAATTTCGATAAATTAATTCAGATCTATGAGAGTAAGTTAGAATTGTCTTTTGACAGAGCTTTCAAATGTTAAAATGCTTTAAACCAATGAAATATTTTCCCAGTAAAGTGTAAAAGGACACTATGATATGAAAGAAAGTTGTATAAGAATGGTAGGATTTTTGGTAACTGGCTAGGTTTCTAAAGACCGTTGGACTCGGTGGCTTGAGACAATGTTAGATATGGCTTAGAACAGAGGATATTAGTAATTGTGCTATGATTTCCTTTTACATTCTTGATAACAGTGAGAGGAACTCCCTTAACTGAGAGAATTCTTTCTTAATTGTATTCTTAACTGAATTGTATAAATTATTGTGTACTGTTTTTATTCACTTATTCCTTTATCATTGCACTTCCTTCTGCCTTGTTTAATTCTTTACAATGTTGTCACTTTACTCTATGTGGTTTTAACTATTTTTTGGTGCCTAGTTGTACCTGTTACGCATGCACGTAAACCCGCCATCTGATATGCTTGAACTATTACGAGTTTACCGTAGTCGGAAAACGAGAGCTAGGATTGAGGATCCGGTGACACGACATGCTACTCTAATCCAATTGTCCCAAACCCCCGTTGAGTAAAGGAAGAAGACTTGGTATGAAGTAGAATATGTATTCTACAAGCATCCAGAAAGTACGAGGTCCGAGTCCAGAAGAGGATGAGGATCCCGAACTAAGGGTTCAGCTCCGTGTCATAAAATATTACAGATAATGCGTATTTATACAATTAGGTCGAGTAAGAAACAACATTGAAGTACGTGACATTGATAGTTAGGACCATCAACAGAAAACACCATTTGAAGTGACACTGATAGTTAGGACGACCATAATATTGACCAGTAGGAATTGACCAATAGAATTAGACTTACAAAAATAATTCTCTTAGAATATTTAATGAATAACCTAACAATTATATTAGACTAAAATTCAAATAGTAATAAGTTGAAAAGTCTGTAAAGGAGTCAGATCAATCTATGTAGTTTGTAGCTGTCTCGGTTACTTAGGTAAAAACAGAAGGTGACTGTAGATGTTAAGCAATGTGACTTACAGATAGATTTAATTAATATGTATTAGTGTGTATAAGAATCAAACATATCTGAGATTAAAATGTTTTTAGTTTATTTATCTATTGTCACTTCAATGGACATTCAACAAATGATATTGATACACAAGATATTGACAAGTAATACAAACAAATTAAGAAGCGAATTTATCATTTCACCAATAAGCTTATGATAGTAGTAAACTAGCGTTCGGATTAAAAATAAAACTTATCAACGCACAGACACACACAAACACAAAAACACATGAACACATGCATACATAAATCATATACACATGTCAATGAAAAAAAAACAACACAACACACCTCTTAGTCAACAACACATCAAAAAAAGCCAATACACATACATGCATGCATGCATGCACGCGAACATTTATCAACAGTGTGATGAAATAAACAACACACACTTACTTTCCAACCATAAGCTAGCTGAATGAAAGTTTATATGTTTGCAATAAGAACAAATAATAATAATAATAATAATAATTTTGAAAGAATATTTAATCAATTACAATGAATTATTATAGATTTTTAAAAGAAAGAAAACAGGAACAGCGATATCCACAGTATAATCATAACCCATCCAATTAGCAGTACTGGATAGTGTGTGGTGCTGTGGTGCGCGTTACTTATAAGTAGTATATGACGTGAGCGTCAACGTAATGTCTGGCAGCAGAAGATGGGAGAAGATCAAGAAAGGAAGAGTGGCAACACAATGGAATTTGTATGAAACGCATGAATAGTGACAATGGATTGATGTTTTGCAACAGGAACAGTCCAGTTCGACATGATGAACTGTTATTTTGCAAATGAACGATTTACGATATGGTTTTCCAATTTTACTGAGTAACTCTGTAATTTTTCGTTAAATACAATTCGGTTGCCCCACCTGTGTTCTCGTTCACTACAAGTGGTCCCATTGTAAACGGATATCATCAATCACTGATTCTCAGATATATATATATATATATATATATATATATATATATATATATATATATATATATACAAAAGTTTATCGACTAGTTTACTAAATAACGACTATTAAATATTCATTGTGATAAGAAGTCGATGCTACGGATAGGTAAACGGATTCAACAAAATGAATGTTCTATCTAACACACACTAAGTATTAACCATAACCGAAAATCCAATAAATAAAAGAACTAACACTAATGATGTTATTTAGAAATTTGTTTAAAGAGCAAAGGAATGTTAAACAGGGTTGTGTTTTAATAATGTCTTGAAATTATGGATGCGAAACATGGCCGTTAAGAGTAGATGTTCGTAGGTTACTAGTATTCGATCACACGTGTCTTAGAAGCATTGCTCGTATATCGTGGGACAACCGAGTAAGCAATGCTGTCGTTAGGAAACGAGTACTAGGTAAGGATGGCAGATCAATAGATTAAGCAGTGAAACTTCATCAGTTGAGGTGGTTGGGACATGTGTTACGTATGCCTAACCACCGACTGCCTCGACGAGCTATGTTTTGTGATGTAGGATTAGGTTGGAAGAAAGTTAGGGGCGGTCAGACCAAAACATGGCAGAAATCCATAAAGTCACTGACAAGTTGACTGAGTCATGTTGGTAGATGTAGACTACCTGGTTGGGGTCCGCGAGACAAAATTCACCAATGGTTAGAGACCTTGAATGACATGGCTCAAAATCGTTTGCAATGGCGTAAGTGCATCCATTCATTGTGCTCTCTCAAAAATCCTAATCTTCTAGATTCGTCAACACCTCTACTTTAGTCTTTCTAAATTATACTTCTTGAATAATATCTTCAAACCCTATTCTTCTTCATTACCATTAATACCTCTACTATCTTTATCACTATGGGATTTGATTTGACATTTGCGTCTTTGTGCTAATGTGCTTTGGCAACATGAACTTATGTACATACGTACGAAGTTCTACGTTGCAACAAACTGACTGATTTAGAGAATGTATATTTCGACATTAAATATTCAACCAGATATCTGAGTAGATAAGCTGTTCAACTTAAAAAAAAAACCTTTAAGTTATACATTTGAATCCCGGGTCACTTAATTCAGTCTGATCAACCGCGCAGAGTATCACTTATGCTTACAATTAGAATGTAGTAATGAAGTCAAGTAAATGAATCAATATTGGATAAACCTATATCACAAGAACTAATACTTTCATCAATGTACTTTTGATAAATTGATTCAACATATATATAAACTATGACCAAACTATTTTAAAATCCTGAAATTATCAGCATTGCAAATAATAAGCGCACACAAAGAAAATTATTATTCAAGCGAACAAGTAAATCAATGAAAATTTGATTTGATGAACTACTACTCTACTAATAAGCAATAAATGATTGCTTATGTTTGCGCCATTGAAAACAAATCAAATATAAATGAATCATGACACAATTATGAATTGTTTTTTCTATTTAATATTCAAAGACTTAATTATATCAGTGAGTTTCACATGTTAACTTACTCGAAAAATTTTACTACACTTTAAAAATGTATGTTAATAAAAACTTTTATTAAAGTTGGATAAAAATGCGTGGAAGTGACTTTTGAAAACATCCATTAAACATAATGTTAATTCGTAATATTGAGAAAACTATCTTCAAATGTCTTTAGTGGATAATCGCCCTATATTTGGCACCGTCAAACTTCATTGGACATGGTATTTTGTCAAAAATCCCGGGATAACATCTCAAAATGAGTGACATGGCAATTATCAGTAGAGAAGCGTCGTAGAGATTGTTGAACGTTATTGAAATTATTAACTGAACTCAGTTAAACAGTCAGTGAAAACCAGGAGGCATTGAAAAGCTGTTTTGGTCTAGTAAAAGACCTTTTAAAAGTGTGTATCCTGACCCTAAAGGTGATTAGGTCTAGGTGATTCAGGTCACATACAGAGTGGATGATATCCAATGTTATATATTTCTAACTTCAATTAATTTACACCACTGACTAGCGATTTTCCATTGTCTTCTGTATGAAACTGCTTCACACGACACGCCTAAACTCTACTGATTACGTCTTCACACTACAACTTCGAGAATTATCAAAGAATATAATTTTTTTAAATTGTTATGTTTTAATACTGCTACGTTTGGTTGTTCACAAAAAGAAAAATTGAGGAGCTATTCATTTAAGCAGTTTCAGAGTTTTAATAAACTGTTTGGCGTAGCATATTTGAACCCCACTCTACCTACTGAGATTTTGGTAGTCATCGAGTAGCACTCATAGTGCTAATACAGATAGTATGCCTCAAAGCAGAAAACGTAAACTTATATTAAGTAAATGAGTTTCATTATTAATTTGGTATATGTAGAAGTGATATCACTTTGTTAAAAAAACTGTTGGGAACTAGGATTGAATGAACGGCTGTTGTCATATTTTAACTTTGAAGTTAGTGGAAGTAATAATATCTCGCATTAATCCAGGTAAAATAAGAAATACCATGTTGATCAGTAAATGAGTAACTAACAATAGATTAGGTCACAATTCCATATAACCATAAAACAATAAAGGTAATCAACCATCTCCAAAACCCGATAATAATTACCATTATATGCTCACTAGTGAGCAGCTTTGATATCTAGTGAGAAGCTGTAATCAGTGGATTTCAATCCGTGTCTAGAGTAACACAGTTATACGCCTCACACAATGGATGAAAGTTGCGCCAGATCATGCACTGATTAAAGTTAGACAGATGCCGGCTCAGTCGTCTACAGATTAAGCATTTATGAGCTAGACTGAAGGTCCTGGGTTCGATCGCGGCATAGGGTGTTGTAGAAACACACTGCTGATGAATCCCAAACTGGGACGAAACGATCGTCTTATGATGATCTAACATTGATCGGTTAAAAATGTCGATGAAAATCATGTACTTTAGATTAACACATGAATGTTTTTGCAAGCTTTAAGTGATGTTTAAAGTGTATTGGATACTTACAGAAATCTAAGCTAAAACCCATGAAACGTGTCTAGAATGAAGCCTGAAAACATTGTTTACGTTAGTGATTAAACAGTAATAACGCCTCATGTGTCAGTGTTTCGCAACTCCATTTTCTTATCTCGCAACTTTTCTTGCGTTTTGATAAATCATTTATATTTGTCTTCATTACTATTTCAAAGAACTGCAATAAATTGTTCACAGAAGCGTTAGTTCATTGTTTAGAATAACAGTATTACAGATTATTTGAATTGAAAGTTAATAAAGAATGATTAGTATTTTTCTTACTCTAAATAAAAGAATACAATCTTTGAAAATTAAAGATTTGTATAATTTACAGCTTATTGAAACTCGATCGATGTATAAAACAAGATTTCAAGCCAAATATCTGATGTGAAGAGTAGCTGCTACCTTGACATGGTGGTCGGGCTTGCCCATCGTGATGACCCAACAGAGCTATATTGGCTGGAACTTATGTTCCTGAAGGTTCTACCATGCCAGGCAGGTCGATTGGAGAATGGTAGGACTAAAAGCAGCTTCTCATGGTCTGAGGGCGAAGTCGTAATGCTGACTGCAGAGGGGTGTGACAGCAGTAAGGTGTTTCCCTCGGACAACCAGTATCTGCAGTGATGCTGCCTTCTCACAAGGAAGGAAGGGTTAGAAAAGGTCGACCCTAAAAATGTCACACCTCACCCTACCTCACGGATTTCCGTCTCCGGCGGTAAGGGTGCCCACTAAGGGCTTTCAAGAGCAGAGCTAATATTCAAAAAACCTTTCATCAAAAGGCCGGCCTCAAGCAGTTGTCCCTTGGACTCTGCGGTCACACAACCAGCTCTCTAAGACCAACTCTAATCCACCTTCTTTTTCAGCTTCCTTCCCTTCCATGGTGTGGGCAGTCGGGAAGTGACAACCGCCCTCATACCCGTAACATCACACGATGTGAAGAGTTAATGATACTTCTCTAGATTGTACAAAACCGAATCAAATCGAGTGGGGGGTTCAAAAATACAACTTAATGTTGAACATTTGCTGAGTTTTTGAGCTACTACTTATAGTCATTATTAACATTAATTTATTTATTCTACAACGAATTTTCTATAAATATATGCACATAATCTAATAAGAAATAAAATTATTATTACTCTTTTTAATTATTAATTATACACAAAGAATTTTGTCATTCATTCATACAAACTTACTTGACGTAATGGTTTACGCATTTTTAAATATTCTGCATAATATGTCATTGCTTCCCATGAAGCATGTAATTTAACAAATACTAAATTATCTGGTGTTATCAAGATAGCTTTATCATCTAAAGCTTGTTGACGATAACGATCCATACATGATGGTGGACTTGTATCTGTTGGTTTATCTGGCGCTTTATTATCATCATTACAAGATGGTGGTGTAGGCATTGGCAATGCACAATTTTCATTTAAATGTAAATCTACTGCACTAGTTTGTACATGTGAAAATGATGGTTTAATTGTTAATGATAAAAAATCATCTTCATTTGATGATACAGTAGCACCCAATAGATTACCATTAGAATCTTCAACCTAAATAGGAATAAATGAAAAAAAATAATAAAGAGAACAGTAAGACATCACTTAATCAGTCAGATGCAACGTAGAACTTCGTACGTGTAAGTACATCAGTTCATGTTGCCATACCACACATCAGCACAGAGATATAATTGTCAATTCAAATCCAATAGTAGTAGAGGTAGTAAAGGTATTAGAAGTAATCGGAGAGGTTAGGATGAGAAGATATTATTCTACAAGTATGATTCAATGAAAAAGGTTTAGAAAGTGAAAACTAGAGGAGTTGAAGAATCCAGAAGATTAGGATTTGAGAGAACATAAAGAATAAATGCACTGGTGCCATTGCGAACGATTTTGAGCCATGTCATTCAAGGTCTCTAACCATCGATTATTATCATCTCGCGGACCCCAACCAGGTAGTCGACAATTACCGACATGGCTAAGTCCACTCGTCAATGATTTCATGGATTTCTGCAATGTTTTAGTTTGGCCGCCCCTAACTTTCTTCCAACCTATTCCTACACTACAAAACAAAGCTCGACGAGGCAGTCGGTGGTTAGGAATTCGTAACACATGTCTCAACCACTTCATCTATTGATCTGCTATTTTTACCTAGCACCCGATTCCTAATAACAGCGTTGCTCACTCGGGTGTCCCACGATATACGAGCAATGCTTCGAAGACACCTATGATCGAAAACCAGTAACCTACGAATATCTTCTACTCTCACTGGCCATGTTTCATAGCCATAAACTAAGACGGAGCGAACCACTGCACAGTACACTCGTCCTTTAGTCAGCAAACGGATATCTCGCCTACGCCATAAATGACGCAAGTTGGCAAAAGCCAATCGAGCTTTCTGTATCCGAGCTGAGATTTCGTCAGTCACCAGGCCATCGGCACTGATGAGACTCCCAAGATAAGTGAAGCGGTCTACACGTTCGACTATTTCACTCCCTATCACTAGTTCAGGTGCCGATGAAACCCAATCTTGAAGCAACATTTTGCATTTCGAGGGGTGGTAAATTTATTTTAGATATAACTATATTTAATAAGAAATTTGAAGGGAAGTTTGAGCTTAGTCAGTTAGTCATTATCAACATACAGCCTGGTATAATTATGAGTGAACTTAAATCATCATAGAAAGTCAGAACAATGATAAATCAAATGAGATAGATAGAAAAAGTTATAATAAGTAAACTAAAACTGATAGTGAAATAGATTTAAAAAATGAGTAGATGAGATTATAAAGGAAGCAGTGGATAAGGTATATAGTATTTCAACTCGTTTTTTAAACTTTTAACAGGGTTTTTTAAAATAACCAAAAAATTTTTTAAAATTTTCGCAGCGTTTTTTAAAATTTTTTATAATCCTTAGAATGTCAGAAATAAATAGAAAAAACAACTTGATTTCGAATGAAGAAAGAAAAAGCCTTATAAAAAAAGTTATTGAAGATGGATACAGCGTCAAGGATGCGGCATTTCTTACAGATGTAAACTATCAGGCCGCTACAAATATTATAAGGTTGTGTATATAAAAAGGAATCGCGAGTTGAGAAGAAAAAAACAGGAAAACCATCAAATAAGAAGATATGCGGTGATATTATCAATTTTGTTGAAGAATTGATAGAATTAAACCCGTTAATAACGATGGTAGAAATTCGAGAAAAAATAGAAAACATATTTACTATAGGCCTTTCTCTTGAATCTATTAGAAGGATAATTTATAGACTTCAGATTAGTTTAATATCGGCTATAACAGAAAATGAAGTTCTCTTTGCTAAAACCTTTGTTGATTCGGTGAATTCAGATAAGTTCATTCAGTTTTTTGGTTATTTTAAAAAACCCTGTTAAAAGTTTAAAAAACGAGTTGAAATACTATATATGTGTAAAGGAATGTTGAAAGTCAAGAAGAGAAAACGTGAATGCATGTGCGCACACAAACCAATTTGTGGTTCATTTCTAGATAATCCATGAATTTGAAGTGAAAAAAGTAACAAGATTTTACTTACTTCAATTTCTATTTTTTGCTTTGCTAGCTCATTGAGAAACAGCAGACGTCGATTCCGATCATAATATTTCGATGTAGAAAACCGATAAGCAAGAACATAGTCAGTCCTGCGTTTAGCATCGCGGAAATACAGCTCTGGGTTAGTCTATGAAAATAATAACAATACAGCTGCTACCATGTTCTACAGAAGTTCTACAGAAATTACACTTAACAAACAAGATAGCTAAAATAATTTACTCCTCTACCATGTTTCTTTTGGGGATAATTTATGAAAACTGTACTATATTTGTTGGCAGTTCAACCATATTATGGACAAAACATTTCTAGTAACTGAGGTGCAAGTAAGAAACGATTTAAAATGAGGATTCAGAGTATAAGATCGGTATTTCAAATATTCTATGCAAAAAAATAACAAGTTAACACCGTCATTACGTATAATGTCAAAATCTAATGTTGAAAGTCACCAAAGCATCAGTCCGATTCATGGGACGAGTTTTAAAGTAATCTGGTGTAAAAAGCAACGAGGTAGTTAGTTTTTAGTCGACTGAATGAAATTAAATTACTCAGTAATGATGAACCTGATATGACTATCCTTGAATAAACTCATTTAAACCGGAAAGCCTGTACAATTTAGACCAATACAAAATGACTGAATAAATTGTAGTCATTATCTCCTTTCGTCATCGACCTTCTCAACCTAATACTTTAGAGGGAAATATACTGACGTTGCTAGTGATTAGTGACGAATGTCTTATGGTTTGGTGATCGATACAATTGGCGTTCAGATAGCGTTGTGGGTTCGAATATAACCTCATTACTTGGAAGGTGGGGTTTCAATACAAGTATTAATAACCTGCCTAATAGAGTACAATGAAAATAATTATTTAGTTAGTAAAATACAACAATCGGTTTCTATGATGACCTGATATATCTACTATTTTAATTAATTTTTAATAACATTCAACTCGTTGTTACACTACATAATATGAATGCTTAAAACATTTTACACAATATCTAATTATACCCAATCGTTTCATCAATAACTATGATCACTATATTTAAAAAGGTGAAAAACTTACAGATGTGTATGTGGACGTTACACGACCGACCCCCGAGTCCATATGCTACATGTAACAGAAACCAATGATAATAAGTAACTTGGAATGACAATGTGTAATAATGGAGACAAATATAGAGATTTGAAAAATTTCCAGCAACTGATAAACAAAACTCGGACACGCCAGTCAATACACATAAAATGCAACTGCACATAAAATTGATATCCCAACGATATGAATGATAACTCTATGTTTTACATGTACTCAGGAAAATGCTTCACAAAGGTATCTCTCAATCGACCAGTAAAGTTCCAGTAGAGAGTCTGTACAAGGTTAATGTTCTTCTTTGGTACATCTTTCAATGATAGACACTGCCAAAGAACCTCACTATTAAACTACATGAGTCAAACCCCGACTTCAGTTCAAGAAATACACCCAATGTCTGACGCTGAAATGTGTGTTTATGTTGTATTGCCTGACAAAGTGTGGATATCTGGTCGATACATCCACGTCCAGTTCCGAAACCAGCCCAGATTTCTCTAGTTTGCTCTTCACGAGGTCTGATTAGGCGTTGTAGTATTATTGAAACTAATACTTTACACATTATCTCAGTCAAACTGATTCCTTTGTGATTGTCTAAAGAGGACTTTGTCGTTTCTCATAGACTATGGTAATCACTGATTGAGACTAGTCATATTGGATTATGTCCAGTTCCTGAATTTTAGCTAAGATCTCAGTCAATCTAACTGCTAAAACTTGACCACCGTCCTTAAACATCTCAGGGGTTAATCTATCAAGACCTGTTGCTCTGCCTCGCCCTAGATCTCCTATAACCTTTTCAACCGCATCGGAAGTCGCAGGACTCATATTAACTTGCCATTTAGGTTGACTGGAGGTGGCGATAAATGAAGTGTGGCTGGAAACCAGTTGGGCTTCTCTTTAGTGTTCAGCCCATCGCTTCAATATACTGAATGAATGCTAGTCCAATATTTTTCAGAGAATGTCTCGTTAACAGTTGGATTCCTAACACAAGTCTCCTTGATAAATGCGGACAGTTGTCTACTGTTACTCATCGCCGTCGCCGCCGCCTTTGCCTTCACTTCACGCTGAGTAACACTAATGCGAATTCTCAACTTAGCACTAACATAACTCCGGCATGGTTTGTTTGTTTCCAAGTGAAATGGAGTGCATATATAAAATGTTCGGAATGAGACAAATTCGTCTAATCAAGGTGAATATCGCCTAACAAACTTTATGAAATTTATTCAGATAAAAAAATGTTTCAAGTGTTTTGATTTCATCAACGGAACGACTGAATATATATTTGAATGCAACGACGTTGGTATTTGATAATTTTTATTAATTTTTAGAATATAGCGTTTTGAAACCCAACATCCTTATGGAAACGTTTTACACAACAAAAGGTTGGTTTCTCATACTAAGAAATTAATGTAGGTTAACGGTGGAGCCACGTGACGTTTTCTGCTACTTGTCTAAAGTGTTTTTGGCAGATATACGGAGCCTTGGGAATTTTTTATGGTCATAATACTAATCGTTGAAATCGATAGAACCGAATGCTAAAATATGGGCAGAGTCCAATAAAACTGTTGGAGAGCTACTTTAATTTGTGTTGAAAATAATGAGGATGAAGAGGGAAAAAAAGAGGTTTGGACCACTAAAGTATAAGTAGATAATAATAGTAAATTCTTCGAGCTAAATGGAAAGAGGGAGTTTCATTTTTGATCCATTTTCTCGTTTAGTAGAATGTAGCTGGTTTTTGAGCTTTTTTATGACATAGCAGTCACATCAGCTGGCGTTTATTGACCATAAGATTCGCTAGTAATTGATTCGAACGTACTTTGAATTCAGGAAAATTAGATATCGTTAAGTGAGGGCCACAAAGATGAAATAAATTTGAAGGGAATGGCTGTACTTAGATTTTCATGAAGTCAAATATGAATATTTGTTATCAAAGAACTATTTGGTGTATAGACTTGTTCCAGCTAATAACCTAGTCTATTGTGATATGATAACTAGACCGAGAAATACGGAACCATATATATTTTTCCCTGTACTGATACATAAATATATTAGATATACTTACGAAAGAAATCAAATTGGTTTACACTAGCTCGTGAAAAAGATATTGGATAGTGGCGTCTAATAATCCATCATTATTGCAAACTGAAGTACCAACTACAGCTAGTGAGTTGATGTCAACTAACACAAAAATAATAAATCCATCTACGAGTGAAATTTGGTCAGATACATCAATGACACTATGATCGATGACAGCATCGCGAAATAACCTATCTTTTTCAGCTGTAAAAATCCATAATAGCGATAACAAGTGTAAGGCACTGTACTAATGCTTTCATAAAAACAATGTTTTATCAGCTGAACTGTACGTCTAAAAGCCCTATGGTTGGGAAGTGCTTAAATTTATATATTTCCATTTAAGGATCAAGTTGAATTTTGTCACTTCTCCAATGTACAATCTCGTAAATCCTCCTCCCAGTTAACAGAATAGCTTTACTACATTAATCAAAACAAAGCCAGAAAAATTAAAGTAAAATGAGAGAAATACTTGCAATTAAAACGGGATACTGGACCTACGTTTGCCTTGCCGCGTACCAATTGTCCTTGAAGTTGAAAAATTTAAATTTCTAGGTGGTAAAGCCTTGGAAATTTCCAAACATTATACACCGCGAACGTTTAACTCTCACGAAAATATATCATTGAATGAGTTCTGAAAAAGGGAGCAAATCATGTCGAAATTACAAGATACCTCAAGCGATGCAGCTCATGTGATACAGTCAAAAGGTTGTCCAGCACAAAATAGGGAACTGGACAGCAAACGGTAAGATTGTGAACATGTTTATGGTACCTAAGAATGAATAACAGTATTCCTTGCGAGATGGGATCAAATACCTAACCACAACAGCTCTATTAACTCTCTCCAGCAGGCAGTCAAAGGTTTTGACATATCGTCTGCCGCCCATTTCTCCGTGGTTTTGAGGCTCATGCTATGAGAATTTTGGATGCACAGGACCTGCTTTTCCCCTGGGTTTCATGGAAGATGTTATTTTCATTCATATGTTTCCTCATTATCTAGTTCACCAGTCCCATCATTACATTTGACAGTATTGACAATAATGCGACTGGTCTGTGGCAAGCTGGATCTCGTATACCTCCTCCTTTGAAGTTATGAGCGACTGGCCTCAGGCCGTGAGGATGCACCATAGCTGGGCAGTGCTCTAGGCTTGTAAGTGGTTCAACTGGTTGGTAGAACTGCTGTTAAACATTTCAGCTGTCTCTAGGTTCGTAAGATCTTCACCATTTGGTCCTTAACGGAACAGACACCATGGTTTGTAGATTATTGTCAGCCGTCAGTATGTAGACTTCTACATACATGGTTAAGTGGTGTTTCGGCTACCAACATCGTCTGGAAGTGTATATTATGACTTCGAACTTCGGCGTTACATCTGTCTCTCAATATCGAATGAGAGCTACGGTCAGAATCCTTAAGAGGGACTTTGCGCTTTTGATTTGAATTAAGCGTTCTCTGCCTCACTCAACCCTGTATATATTTCCAAGTGGGTGGTCTGCTAGAGGCATCTTATGTAGGATAATATTCTCCTTGATATCCCCAACTACTCCTCAGTGATTACCCACAAATCCCATAGCCATGGGAAATGTGGAAGCTACTCCGTCTTAGTTGTGAAGTCTACTCTTGCGTAGCTAAGATGGGGAGCGTTCTCGTCCCAATTAAAATCGAGTACATTTATATTGATTAATTCACGTTTGTTAGACATGGAAGTAAGAAACAGGGAGGGTAAATCTGAGGTACAGTCCGTAGAGTCACCTTTCCAATCACATTAGGTTGTCTGATAAACGATCTATATCTATAAGAAGACATTATGGAGGCCTATAAGCACTCATTTGTCAGAATTCCAGTAAACCGAAGCTGATTTAGAGGGAGATTGGACGATGAAAGCAGACAAATGTCTTTGTAACATCGTAAAATTATTTACAGCTGAATCAGAAGAGATCAGTAACATGCGTTCTCGATCAGATCCGAAAATCACAGTTCAAACTGAAACATAATATGTACCCCAATGTCACGGACGACAAAATAAAATTGAATGACTTGACACATTTACAATGATATAAGATACAACAACGTTTTCTAGCTGAGAGTTGCCTCCAATCAAGACGATCTCTTAGACCAAGTAATCACAACCAACTAAGTATTTTATTTCAACAACAGACTTGATATTCACGTACTCACTGGTGCATTTCCATTTCACTCTTGGACTAGCTGTACCAGAAGCATGTCTCGAAACTTGCTAGTTGTTATTAATGCCAACGCCTTAGATCATTAACTTGATCTGTCAGGCTTATTATCTCAGTTTCCTCCCCTTTGCTTAAACTTCGATTCTCTCGCATAATCTTCACTGAACTTAACTATCAATTTATTGAAGTGATCAGCTCTGGTAGAGGATAATCACGTCCATACACCAATAGGAAGTAATAACCATGACACAGTGTCGTTTAACTCGGTCACCAACGAATCACTCACACAGGAGGGAAACGAGCTCATCTTTGCTACACTAGGGCGAATTACACGTGCATGAGAGAGCATCTTCTACATGCCACATGTCCACGGGAGTGGTGGAGGCTGAAAGTAGATGATCTCTGGCAAACAGTAAGGGTCATCATCCGGAATGCTGCCGTAGACAATTTTTCTCAGTCAAAACACTCACCCAGAAGTAGAAGAACATGGGTTAGGCGAGGAATTGAACGCTCGCTACAGGGGAAGAGGAGGGCCTGTCACAAGTGGAAGGTCTCCCAGAAGGATTCCTACCGTAGTTCTTACTCGTCATTGAGAAACAGATGCAATACCAAACTTCGAAGTGACAGGAGATGCTTTCAGAAGAAGCTAGCTGTCCAAATACAGGCAAACCCTCAGCATCTGTTTAGGTTCATGAGAAAAAGAAAACTTACGGATCAGTATTTGTGTTATCTCAAAGGTCCGGATGGGGAAGACCTCACCAACCTAGAGATGGATGAGATCTTCAACACTAACTTTGTTGAGCTGTTAAACCAGACACCCACATGTTCAGAGTACTACTCAAACCCAGTGCCAGCTAACGGCTTATGGAACATCCGTATCACTCCTGACTTAGTACCAAGGAAAGTAAAATCCTTACGCCCAGGTAAATCACCATGTTGTGTCAAAATTCGCCTCATAGTCTTGAAACAATGTGCAGAAGTCTTCTGTTCACCAATATGTGACATGTTCAGGCATTCATTGGAGTCACACCAACTCCCAGCTTAGTGGAAACTAGCTACCCTCTCTCCAGTCTTCAGAGGAGGAGATAGAAAGGACTCAGCCTGTTACAGACCAGTCACATTAGTACCAATGCTATCAGAGGTGATGTAAGAGTTGGTGAACGAATAGATGAGGGAGTCCATCGGTATGAAAATACTAGTTGAAGCATAACACCGGTTTTGGAAGGGCAGGTCGTGCGTATCCAATCTTCTCATAGAAAGAGACAGTTGGACATCCTGCTGGGACCGGAAAATACCAGTGCACATAATATTTTTAGACTTTGAGGAAGCCTTCGACTAATCGCGAAGGTTGCGGAAATGGGCTTCACTCACCCACTCCTATCTTGTCTCAGAACTACCTTGAGAATATGAAGTTTCATACCAAGGTAAATAGATTTCGCGAGAGTTGGCGAGTTTCAACATCTGGAGTCTCACAGGGGACTATCTTAGGTCCATGTCTCTTCCTGATATTCATTGAAGACGCGTAAGGCACAGCTCGCTCACTAGCATTGATCTACGCAGATGATACGAAGATCTGGAGGTCCATTAGAAGCGAAGAGGATTCTGCTGAGCTTCAAAAGAACCTTACATTTATTGAGGAGTGGGCAGTGAAAAACGGTGTAAAACTAAACAAGCCTTAATGTCACACCATGTTCATTCTGCCCCACATGATGCAAACCACCCATACTGTCTATAGAAGTGCGCTCCCTAATGTCTCCTCAGAGCGCGATCTGTGATTACTGACAACTGAAAGCCTCAAATTATACAGAGGATGTAGTCAAGGCAAATGCAACTCTTCACTTTGTGCGGACACAACTTGATGCTAACACCTAAGAATTATTATTAATACTGTTCAAGTCATATGCATGCCCATAACTTGAGATTCACAACGTCTTCGCACCCCTCTGCTTATAAGAGATATAAATCTGTAGGATTGAGTGCAGAGACGAGCAACAAAATGGGTTATAGGGTTGAAAATAAAACTTGCGATGGTAGATACCAGCCTTTAGGATTATTTCCCCTGAATTACAGGAGAATCAGAGATGACCTGATTATGGCTACAACGTACGAGGCACGCCAAACCACCCCACTCTTGCATTATACTGATGTATCACCGCCACTTCCCTCGAAATAATCGTCGAAAAATTGCGTAACAAAGAGTGAATACTCAGCTTCTTGTAAGCATTCCTCATTAAGAGTCATCGCAACATGGAATGGTTTCCCAGCTGAGGTGACAAGCTGTGCCGGATGCATGCTTTGAGACTTGCCAGTCATTATTATTGCCATCTCCCAAGATCACTAACTAAATTTATCTGGCTGGCTATCTCTGTTTCTTCTCCCTTGCTAACACTTCGGTCCTCTTACACATTCTTCACTAATGCATAATAGAGTTAATTATCTACTTATTTACTTAGTTCTGAAATTTTCTTCTCCTTATCATTAGAATTTTTTCCTTATTGTTCTCCATATTACGACTAACTGATCTCCGGCCTGGTAATGTGATAGCTACTAGTATTCAAAAATCCTAATTTCGAGAAACAAAAGTACCCAATTAGATCACAGGATATAGCTAGCCTGAAATCCATTGGAAAATTCCAAATCTCTCGAACCGTACTGGGATAACAAGAGTCGAACACAAAGGTATCAACTGGTTTACATTAGCTCGTAAAAATTGTATTGGATATTGGATTGTTGTTATGATGTGCCATTGTATATATTTGGTTGTAGGTTGGGGTCGCCAGTAGATGTCATGACTTCGAAATCCAAATTCAGAACTGTTAGTTAGCACATGTCAGTTTATCTGAAGTATCTAGGTAACGGTTGAGGGGAATATAGGCTGCGGAAAGTCAACATTTTTGCGTTTCTTCCAGCAGCTATCTCCTAACAATGAAGTCGTACATGAGCCGCTATATTTATGGAAAGATGCTAGAGGATATGATCTATTCGTAATTCCCGTTCACATTAATTTTGTCTATTCATGCAGGAACTTATGTATCAAGATCAGCGCCGTTGGTCTGTTCCTTTCCAAGCTCAGGTTCTTGTAACATTATTAGATCTTCAGTCAAAACCACCGGTAAAACAATAAACTTTGATTTTTATTTTTTCTGACGTTATGTATCATTGCTCCAACGCCTTTCGAGTTTAATAAATCTTCGGAGTTGTTTCTAGTAAATAATCTCAATTCGAGTCTCAGCAGTTAATAAAGCTAGTGAGTAGTAGTATAAATGGATTGAAGTAGTGAAGAGACGTAATTAATTATCCTGAATGACTTAATATCATGAGAACGCTTCGTCCTGCCGCTAAACAGACTAGGTTCATGACTTCTACTTGAAGTTGCATTACTGCTTTACATCAATTGTAAAAATTGCTTTCAGTTAGCTTCAATACTTCTCGAAATAATTCTCCGTTTGTTTTGTCACTATATGTGATCATCTTTGTGGTCTAGACTTATTGTATGGGAATTTTTATGTAATGACCAAACAAAATATGTTTACATTCATTCCGACCGCCATACTCTTTCCAATATAACGTTTGTGACTGGCTATAGTTGATGTGTTCATTTATACACCTACAGCAAGTAGTCGATCTGTCACCGTAGTGTTTTGTCATTAATTTATTCTACTTTGCGGATATAACCGGTTTCAAGTACGTGTACAGATAGCTGGCGTCCAACAACAATTGAGTACAGGTTCGCGTACTAGACCTGAACCAAAATTCAGTTGCTAAGATCATTAGTAATGCACAGTTTGTGAACAAATTTAGGCTCAAACTTATGAATCACTTGCAAACATTAGAATGGTTTGATCACTAATTCATGATATTTAAACTGAAAAGTGTCTTAGTAATATCTTGACTGTTGTTTCAAGTTTATCAAGAAGTATTTTCTCTTGTTTTACACCCAGAACAAACCAGTACGCTTGCTGGAAAGATCGATTTATAGCAGTCGATACTGTTTCACAGAAAATATGCACAATAAGTAAGTCTTAAAAGAGTATCCTCAAATTATTGACGAACTCAGACAAAACCTGGGGAGCTTCAGATTAATAATTATTTCACATTTGTAAGTCGTATAAATGGTTTTGCATCGCAAGTAAAGGTTTCTAAATTTGAGATTGATGTTGCTGCAATGTAAGAAACTTCGTGGCTTTTCTGCTATGGCACTATGATAATTGGTTCAAATATAAAGCTACCAGTGATGCAATCCTACTTTTCTGTTGACCACAGCAAAACCTGAATGAATAAAACTGGTTAAGCTGACAACTAATTTAAAAAACTTCGCACTATGTAGATCAGTTTAAACTGGTATACTATCCATCAACAGCAAAATAAACTAGCTGGAATCCATATAGAGGGACGAAAATCAGATCGGTTTAAAGGTTAAGTAAAATGCTAAGGCTTAAATGGAAATATTCCGTAAGTATACCTGTTTCATAATCTAGTTCGAACTAAGTTATATAGTCTTCAGCCACAATCTGATCACTGTATACCGTACATTGCACATTGTCTTATATTAAAATCTCTATTTTGAGTAACGGTGTTAAATATAATAGTATATTGTTTGCGATAAGTTTTGTCAGTCAGTTACAACGTGGAATTTCGTACGTGCGTACATCACTTCAGGTTGCCATACCGTACTAGCACCGAGACGCCACTGTCTGTTCAAATCCCATAGTGGTAGAGATAGTAGAAGTATTAGCAGTAATGGAAAAGATTAGGGTTTGAAGATATTATTCAAGAAGATTAATTCAGTGAGGTGAATTTAAGAAAAAAAGATAGGGGTGATGAGGCATTCAGAAATTTAGAATTTCATAGAACACAAAGAATGGATGCACCGGCTCCATTGCAAACAGTTCTAAACCATGTCATTCAAGGTCTCTAACCATCCGTTACTTTCGTCTCGCGGACCCCGACCAGGTAGTCTGCATCTACCAACATGACTCAATCCAGTTGTCAGGGACTTCATGGATTTCTGCCGCGTTTTGGTTTGGTTGCTCCGGAAATCCGCGAGGAAAGGTGAGGTGTGACATTTTTAGGGTCGACCTGTTCTAACCCTTCCTTCCTTGTGAGAAGGCAGCATCTCTATAGATGCTGGTTGTCCGAGGGAAACACCTTACTGCTGTCACATTTCTTTGTAGTCAGCAGTACGACTTTGCCCTCAGACCTTGAGTTGATACTTTTAGTCTCATCGTTCTCCAATCCACCTGCGTAGCATGGTAGAACCTACAGGAACATATGTTCCAGCCAATATAGCTCGAACCGCAAATGCGTGACCTAATTGTCGATGTTTATAAACATGAAAGTAAGGTGTAGAGGCCAGTTCATAGTATTAAAAATGGATTAAAATGTTCCCTATAAGTTGGTGATTACTAGCGTAGTTGTAGTTATTTCCCCAAAAAAAAGAGTTTTTGATGTAGTTAACTGATTTTCATAACAAGACAGAATAAAAAAAAGTGTAAGGAAGCAACAAAAACAATTTGTAACATAATCATTCATAAGCTTCCTTCATCTTGTTTCAGATTCGAATCAAACTGTCGTATAGTATAGACAAAATCTATAGATTCTAAATGATCAACTAGATTCCATTTTTTTAATCTTTAGAATAATATTTATGGGCACTGAATGCCTTACAGTCATCCCTTACAGGATGTTTTTATATAGAAATCACATTTATTCCTTCTAGACATTTTTTTTGTGTGTTGTTATTGAGATATTCGTATTTGTTACTTTTTATAGCGGGAGTATTTCAGATGCTGACTATGAAGAGCTCCTTAAAATTTACCAATGGATATTCAAGTATAAAAGTTTACCAATAGATTTAATCGGTAAGTCTTTTGAGAAAATTCTTATTTAAATATTTAGTTTACAACAAATAGCTTGCATGAACGCCTGAGTTAGTTAGTTATAGGGCATGAAGAAATTCAATGCGTCGACTACTTCACTTATCTAAGGAATCTCGTCCGCCCTGATAAATTAGTCTGTCTAATTTCCGGCACAACTTCAGAAAATTTCAGTTGGGGTTTTGCTAGTTTGCATCACTATTGTGATAAGTAATTTGCTGGTCAACCATCATTTCTTCCATCAGTTTATCTTAATAATTTTATAAACATTAGTGATTTTCTAGTCTGATTGTTTTTTTTTGCTTGATGATAGTAGTCTGTTTCATTCATTAATAATGGTTTAACTGTTTTAAGTACACCGTCTCATCAATGGTCATACCGGTTTGTATTCAGTTTTAATTTTAAATTTAAAGCACGCATGTGATATCACTAACCGTAATAGATTTGGCTTACATTCTAATGGACCAGTCACAGTTTGACAACTAATTTACACTGTTAATCTGTAGAGTCTTTTCTCTTAATATACCACCTATTATTAATTTTCAGTTTATTTACGTGCAAATCCAACTGTTTGCTTCGAGCGTTTACATGCTAGGAATCGTTCCGGAGAAGAAGGTATTGCTCTTGTAAGTTACAAGGTTAAATTTTACTGTTCTCCATAAAATTACTTCATTTGATGATTTTAATATCGGTTTCAACTGCTCATGTTTACTTTTTATGTTACATCTTTATGACAGCTTATAGCTTTATTATCTTATTCAAATCTCTTCAAGAAAATTCTTTTTCTTTGGGTTTTCGCTGTTCACCAGCAAACTTAGCATTTCAATATCTAAGATTCTCACAACAGTATAAAGCTATTTCAAATTGTGCTTGTTATTTCCGTGATAACGCTTTAGCTATATTTTGCCTTGATAAATGAATAATTTTGGTGTAATATAAGTAATTTCCTTTAAAAGATTAGGATAACGAGAAGTTGTGGCATACAATGAATTCATTGTATTTCATTTATTTTTCCCCAGCTGAATCCACCTGATTTGTAACATTGACTAATAATTTGTTGTTTCTTGATAAATTTTAACTTTGATAGAGAGTGAAGTAGTTGAGCGTGTTCACCGCTCCACTTATCTTAGGAGTGTCATCAGTGCTGACGGCCTGGTGACTGACGAAATCTCAGCACGGATACAGAAAGCTCGATTGGCTTGTGCCGATGTGCGTCACTTATCGCGTAGACGACAAGACGTTATCCGTTTTCTAACCAAAGGACGAGTCTACTGCGCAAGGCCAGTAAGAGTTGAGGATATTGATAGGCTAGTAGTAATAAATCGTAGGTGTCTTCGAGACTTTGTTCGTATATCTTGGGAAAATGCTGTTATTAGGAAATGAGTACTAGGTAGGGATGGCAGATCAATAGACGAAGTATTGAAACTTCATAATTTGAGTTGGTTAGGACATGTGTTACGTATGCCCAACCACCGACTGCCTCATCGAGCTATGTTTTGTGGTGTAGGGATAGGCTGGAAGATAGCTAGGGGCAGTCGAATGAAAATATGGCAGAAATCTATGAAGTATCTGACAGCTGGGATGAGTCATATTGGTAGATGCAGACTACCTGGTTGGAGTCTCCGAGACGAAATTAACCGATGGTTAGAGACCCTGAATGACATGGCTCAAAATCGTTTGCAATGGCGCCAGTGCAGCCATATTGTGTTCGATGAAATCCTAAACTTCTGAATGCCTCATCACCTCTATCTTTCTCTTTCTAAATTTATCTCACCGAATTGTTATTCTTGAATGATATCTTCAACCCTAATACCTCTCCATTACTGGTAATACATTTACAACCTCTACTACTATGCGACTTGAATTGACAATTGCATCTGTGTGTTAATGAGGTATGGCAATGTGGACTGATGTAAGTACGTACGAAGTTCTACGTTGCTGTTGATTGATTGATTATCTGATACACATTCGGTTCACACACTCATACATAAAAAGACATCATCCAAGATTTTTTTTCATGTTGTGATTTTGTTTTATACTTTTTTTTGTATAGAAATACCTTGAAGATTTGCATGAATTACATGAGGCATGGTTAATAGAACGCCGTTTCGGCCCGTTACCTGCTCCTGTATTAGTGAGTCATTAATAAGTGGTATTATGTGGCTTTATGTTACACTAACATTTAATATTCATTATTGCTATCCTGTTAATCCAAGACATTAAGTTACCAGGCTTATTAGGATGCAAAATCGATACACCTAACTGGATGTTTACTGTCTCTCGTTGTTTAATCATTAAGTGTTTTTTTTTCTTAATATCTTGATAATTTAATTATATTAAAGATTCTCATTGTGAAAATTGGAACACACACAGATATAAGCGAACAATATTGTTTACGATTAGATCGTCATCAGGCTTTATACGCTAATATACATGAATATTTATATATGAAAATGTTAAACCAATCAAGGTAATTTAAGTCAGTAAGCACAGTGAAATAAAATAGATTACGTCAGTACACATAATAGGCAAAAGTGCAAGTTGACAGTAGGAAGATAGGTGTACTGATAGTAGAGAAGATTTGTAGCTCAGGTGGATGATTGTGGTGGTGGTGTTTGGTTCTCTGAGCTGTGTTTTGGTTGTGGAGCTTTCATTGTTCATTGTTAAAGGTCAACAGCAACCAATCAAGATCGAGGTTAGCAGAACAAGCTACAGGTCAAACGTGGAGAAATTCGAATGCTTCACTTCTATCTGAAGTTTGTGCTGATGATGTTGTTCAGAAGAACATTGAAAGCCCCCTAACTAAAACACCCGGCTCAGAGAACCAAACACCACCACCACAGTACTGATAGTAGTAAGAAAAATAAAAGTCCTACCAATTAGTAGAACATTCAACGTAACCAAACTTGCATTGACCTTCTCAAGTCGACCAGCGATATCTACCCAAATGAAAGATAATTTACTCGAGTTGGCCTCATCTATGTACATTTTCAAATTCAGCTGCTCCTGTGGAGATAGCTATATCGGGTGTACTACCAGGCAACTTAGTGAACACCTCCCAGCATGGTTTATGAAGGACCATTTAAAAACAATACACAGTGCTGTCTTAGCACATCTGGTTGATAGTAGTCATATTGTAGATAAATCTAGATCTTTTCAGGTGATCTATCGTATACCTCCATTATTTCACAACGGAGTTCGATCCCGTCTCCTGCACATAGCAGAAGCCATAGGAATTCATACACTCAACCCCAATTTATGTGTTCAGAAGAAACTCATGACACCCCTCTCTCTTCCGTGGCCGCATATGACTTAACTAACGTCAAAAAAGTTTTGTTTTTGAAATTTAAGTTTGTTATTATTAGCATGATTTTCACATCCTGTATTTGTTAGTAATTCTCTGCCTCTTTCCGTTTAAATTCTTCACTATATAATTATGTACACACTTCTTATTACGTAATGGTTTTAATGTTTTATAATAATTATTTTAAGTTCATATATCCACGTTTGACCTACTATTGATAAAACTTTTGTGTTATCGTATTTTATTTTTCTTACTTCTATCACAGTACATCTCTGTGCTGATATGGTATGGCGACATGAACTGATGTACTTACGTACGAAGTTCTACGTTGCATCTGACTCTGACTCTATCACAGTACACCTATCTTCCTACTATTACCAACTTGTACTTTTGCCTATTATGTGTATAGACGTAGTCTATTTCATTTCCTTGTGATTATTGACTAACGAATTGCCTTGATTGGTATAACATTTTTATGTGAAATATTGATGTATATTAGAGTACAAAAAGCCTGATGACGATCAAATCGAAAACAACACTATTGTTCACTTATATGTGTTATTCTAATTTGATTATACATTTTTTTTTTATTTTGGTAGTAAAATATGTACATATAATAATAAGTCGTTAAACTTTATGTCAAAATGATTGTTGTTGGACTAATTTGCTAAGATTGAGTTTACTTATACATCAATGTTTACCATTAATTCCCGCCTAACTAATCTAATTAATGCTTAGTATTGAGATCACTAGCTGATGTAAGTTAGATAAAGGTTTTATTCTAGTATGATACTTCTCAATAGCATGCATCCAGGTCCTTTGGTGAGCGTTCAAACTTTAGACCCATTGAGACGGTGTAGTGAAGGAGAACACAGGTGAGGGCAACCGAATTGTATTTAACGAAAATTACAGAGTTACTCAGTAAAATAGGAAAACCATATCGTAACCGTTAATTTGCAAATCTTCAATCCATCATCAATCCATTGTCTGATAGTTCACTATTCATGAGTTTCATACAAATTCCATTGTTTTCTAACTCTTCCTTTCTTGATCTTGCCCCATCTGCTGCCAGACAATACGTTTACATTCGCGTCATATACTACTTATAAGTAGCGCGCACCACAGCACCACACTATCATATATAGTCATTTATTTTATTTTCATATAACAATTGCATACATGTAAGTATGGTTTCCCTGACCCAGCACCATTGACCTTAATCCAATTCATTTAAGTTCCTATTGACTTGCTATTTATAAACTTCTCTTTATCCCCCTATCGTAAGCCTTAAGCAGCAACCAACTTCCAAATATGCGCTCATTTTTTGTGCAAATATACCGGAACACATTGCACCATGAAATGAGAAATAAAAAATATGCATAAATGGACCAAAAGTGACTATGAATAAAGCGAACTATAGTTAAAAAAACTGATAAGTTAAGACTAGTCGGTCGTACAAAAGTAGTTAACAGATTAATCGAAAGCTTATGATAGTTGAAATATCATATATATACCAAGTGATCCCGTTGTGGTGCGCGCTACTTATAAGTAGTATATGAGGCGAGTGTAAACGTAATGTCTGGCAGCAGAAGATGGGAGAAGATCAAGAAAGGAAGAAGAGTGGGAACACAATGGAATTTGTGTGAAACGCATGAACAGTGGGGAAATGTCAAACAATGGATTGATGATGGATTGAAGATTTGCAAATTAACGATTTACGATATGGTTTTCCTATTTTACTGAGTAACTCTGTAATTTTCGTTAAATACAATTCGGTTGCCCTCACCTGTGTTCTCCTTCACTACACCTTTAGTCAGTAGTTTTACAATAAGAATATATAATAATTCATAAATTAGTTCTTGGAGTTATCACTCCTTCAGTCTTCGTTCTGACATATCACCTATTCCGAAATAGCTAACTATTAATGCTAGTTTAGTCATGATATTTTGTCGTCGGTAGCCAAATAGTTCACAGAGAAAAAACTACATATCTTTAATATTTTATTCAATTGATTTATGTTTTACATTATTTTCGCATAGACTTAACAATTCTCGCGAAAGAATTCTGAACTAAACAGTTTATAGCCTTATTTTCACTTTTGATATCTTATGTTAAGCATAAATTGTCAGTCAGTTGCAACGTAGAACTTCGTACGTATATTACATAAGTTCATGTTGCCATACCACATTAGCACAGAGACGTAAAATGTCAAATCAAATCCCATAGTGATAAAGATAGTAGAGGTATTAATGGTAATGAAGAAGACTAGGGTTTGAAGATATTATTCAAGAAGTTTTATTCACTGAGATAAGATAAGAAAGACAAAGGGGTAGAGGTGCTGACAAATCCAGAAGATTAGGATTTGAGAGAGAGAGAGCTCAAAGAATGGATGCACTTGCTCTATTGCAAACGATTTTGAGCCATATCGTTTAAGGTCTTTAACCATTGGAACCATAAATTGTATCATTCTATTGTGTTTCAATTCAGGTAGTTTGTCCTTTTGTTGTCTGTTTTAAGTTGATGATTTTTTACGATGAAAATAATAATAATAATTTCTACAATTTAAAATATCTAGGTGTTCGATTGTAATAAACCATTTCCTGAACTATTATCAGTCTATCGATCTCATAAAGAAAAAATTATGGGTGATGATGCTGAAGTATGAATGAATATTGAGAAGTTCAAGAACTCGAAATTGTGTACAAAAATCCCGAGCTTTTTTTTTGTATGTCATTTTTTTTACATATTTTGTATTTCAGATTTTAATAAAACATTGTTTTTTGGGGCACAGTTTTGGAGGTTTGCGTTTTTACACATTTGAAATCATCAATCATTCATTGTTAGACCACCATTAGAAACCTGGAAGCACTGGTATGGAACTACTCATCAGCAGTGCGCATCCACGACTCATGCTCCTCGCGGGATTCGAACCAGGGACCTTCAGTATTGTACGTGAACACCTCACCATCGGACCACTGGGCCGGTGGCATCCAACAGTGTTAATGTCTAACTCTGATTGATCTACGGATTTTTGCGCGACCTCACCCATTTGTCTTTGGTAGTTACTGCCTACACCCGACAGGGTTGAACTCCATTGGTCACGTCTTCTCAACTAGAACTCAGAGAATTTCCTCACGAAGCTAGTCACTAGTGAGCACTGTTACGATATTTTGGGGCAGAGTTTTGGAGGTTTGCGTTTTTACACATTAGAAATTATCAATCAATCATTGTTAGTTTTTGCTTTGAATCTCAAGCAATGTGCTCTGTTTTATGTTATATGCTTGAACGGGTTGATAATTGTTGGAGATAAACAAATATTCTATTATTAATATAAACGAAATATGTAGAGACTTGAGCATGGTTGTTTTCTCGGTAATATTTATGGTAAACGCTTATGAAGATAACTAGTTTTTTACACGTACTATCTATTGTGGCTTGTCAGGTTATTTCGATTTGTAATTGTTAGTGGGACATAGATGAATTTAGCCGGGAAATATCTTAAGCAACTGTTACAACAGTAATCTGTAATGTACTTGTAGTTCTATGAAGAAATTTTTCTAAAAGGAGTTTGGTCATTTCACCTAATTTTGGGGAAGGTACCGTAGAACAGTTCAAAAAAGTATGATAACTAAGGTTAGAAATACGATTACTTAGTTTAACATACTTTTAAGTAGTAGAAACTTAATTAGCTCCCAGTATCCTTATTCTGGTGACAAATTTTCACTACTTAAGGTAGTGTTGGACATGGTCTTACAAAAGAATACAACATGAAAATCACAACTATAGTATGATGTTAGTGCTTGACCTGATTTTTCTGTAGGTTGCGTCGGAAAATGTATCAATTGGCTTGCAACTTTATTATCCTGATAACTGGAGGTTGGTGCGACAGGCTTCTTTGAGATAAAATAGTGGTGGTTAAGTAACCAGGTTAATGAATTTAGTCACGAGCAGGTAGTCGGGCGCGAGAGTTTTCTGTCTAGTTTACAGCCCAACAAATTTTAACCTAGAAACTAGATTAAATATCCCCATGAAAATGGCCATCACGCTATTGTTATATAAATATAATGAGTCAATCAGAAGTGATCCAATGAGAAGGCCATTGGATGACCATCAGAAATGTCTTTAAGGAAGAATGAATATTATCGGTTGAGAAATGGCTTTCTCTTCTAAGCAAGTAAATACATATATGTGGACGAGTATTCGTTCATACTATTCGGTAGTCAAATAGATTTATTCTGCTCTTTGTCTTGTCCCTCAAGCAGCCAGTTTTGAAAGGGTGATCAGAAGTGATCGCATTCAGACCTTGGCATCGCCAATCCTATAACATTAAAGACGAGTAACCTTTATCCCGTCTAAAGCAGACGTTCTGTTAACAGACATCGGTCGGTGAGAGTATTTTATATTTTCCGACACAACGTGCTCACTGAAGTAAGTCAGTCAGCTACAACATAGAACTTCGTACGTACGTACATCAGTTCAAGTTGCCATATAACATTAGCACAGAGATGCGATTGTCTATTCGAGTCCACATGTGGCAGATACAGTAGACGTATTAGTGGTGATGGAAAAGATTAGGGTTTGATGATATTATTCAAGAATTATATCCCAGTGAAATAAATTTGAGAAGAGAAAGGTAAAGCGTATGAGGAATTAAGATTAGAATTCGAGAGAAGACAAAGAATGGATGCATCTGCGCCATTGCAAAGGATCTTAAGCCATATCATTCAAGATCTCTAACCACCAGTTATTATCGTCTCACAGAGCCCAACTTGATAGTCTACAATAACCCATATGACTTAGTCCAGTTCTCAATGACTTCATGGATTTGTGCCATGTTTTCGTTTGGTCGCCCCTAGCTTTCTTCCAGCCTACCTCTTTTTCATAAATCACCGCCCATCGAGGAAGTCGGTGGTCGGGCATACATAATACATGTCTCAAATACCTCACTACTGTCATCTAAGTTTTTGAAAACATATCTGCCAAAATAAATCTTACACAACAGGTACGTACAGCCTAAACTCACATTGATCTTGGAGCGCACTACTCACACAGCCTAATCTTTCCCAAACAGACTTCTGTCAAAGTATCCTAAATGAGAAAATCATTGTATTTTATTTTTTGCAACTTCGTTCATAATGAGTCTAGAATTATTCTTCACAAGATATATGTCGAGCCTATTGCTGAATATTGTTTGTTCTTATTTTCCAACTTATACCTATCTAATATACTAAAGGTATAAAGAATACAAAAGCATTTCACTCGTTGACTATCCCAATCGATGGCATACCCTTGGAATTGAACCACCGGGTATCCTTCAGTTTCTCTTAGTCTACCTATTTGGGAATTGAAGTCACCAACCATTATTACTATATCAGAGCGCTTAACTTTTTGATAAAGGTTAGAAATTTTTCGGTAAAACTCATCTTTTACCTCTTCCGAGCTAGAGTTAATTGGAGCGTAAGCAGAAACAACGAAGAGGCAACGGCGAGTGTCTGCTCGGATCCTTTCTAAGAGATAGTTCTGCGATGGGACTTAGCGCTATACCTACACCAGAGAGGACACAGGAAGCAGCCGCAGGACTCCCAGATACACGGAGCGTTAACCGAGTTAGTTCTTTATATGGACAAATTAATCATCGGATCTTGTATGTGTTTCGGAGATGCGGCATATATCGATGGCGCGAGAAGGAAGGAATCTCGTTGTCCTATTTGGCACAAGGTCTGGACAGATGTATACCGAATGCCACACCCCAACCCTACGAAAACTTAGTGTATCGGTCTAATCATAATTAATAAACACAATGATATATACGTGGTCCCCTATATTATTTAGGCTGGTTAGTATGAAGAAAAAATAGATTCGTTGTAAATCCGTATAATCCACAACCTTCAATATCATGAAAAGTGGTCTCGTTACATATAGTGATGCTCGTATTTAACACCGAACCATAGAAATCTCAATAAAAAATATGAGGTTTCACCGATTTCAGTATTGTCTAGATACCATTCATGATACTGTAAGAATTCTTATCCAGTCCAAATTTGCCCCAAATCGTAAAGAAATAGGATCATGCCACAGTTCAATTTCAGAAAATAATCGTACCGGCACTGTCCGTAAGCGTATCAAGTGCGACTGGAAATAATTATGAGACTAATATTTCTAATGAATCAGTTCCTAGCCATGATCCTCATATAATTTCACCAGATTAGAGTTGTCCTATTGATTCACGTACTTCTGATGAGACACTTGACGAACGTAAGGGAAATACGTCAAAACGAACCAATTCCTGGTCGTAATCCCAATGCTATTTTATCAGTTATTGCTTATTCTAATGTTTCGTTAATCCCTAATGAATTTGAGGGAAATATTTCCGAGGAATCAAATTATTATAAAATTCCTAATGATGCCGTATTAGATGTTATACTTCTTCACAGTATATTGGTTTCTAAAGAATTCGGACAATGCCAAGCACATATCCTGAATGATTCACAACCTAATTACAGGTCTGATGGTCCCACACATTAATTACTGTTCATTCTTAAAGCAAAATCACTTTTAGTAGTTTCTCAAGTTAGTATAGGTTTTGAATGAATTATGTGGTCGTCTGTTATCAACCAGTCAAAATACAAGATATGCTTATTTATATTGTGACTATAGTGATGACATTGTATTTATCAGTATGAAAGGTGACAAAAGCAATACCTACAATATTAACTATACAAGTCAAGATTGCATACAGCGATTCTTCAAGCCTGGTATACTCACACACACCAAAAGATGAAAGTAGTGTTAAGACTGTTCAGATCAATAAAGTCACACTAATTGTAACGTGCATGTATATGAAGATCTAACATTGTTTCGAGGTGGAGGGTACAACGAAGGATAACCCTACACACAGCCTCATCTACCGGTGTTTCTTTCGATGAATAGCTGTTCAAAAGAAAGACTCGAATTTCATTTTGGACGATGTATAAAAATAGTACATATTGCCCGTTAACCAAATAGATTTTCTAGTCCAGTATTGCCTTTTTGCTTAAGTAGCCAGTTTGAAGGTTAACATGTATCACCATTAAGTCTCAGAAAACACACCATAACAATAAAACATTTGTGTTGTTCGCTCATCATAATATATATATATGTTTATTAACAAGTCGAAAACGAAATTTTAACAAAAGAAAATATATACAACTGAATGTGTAGAAGAACTATTAGGTCAAAGTGACCAAACATCTTGAAATCTAATTCCATATACCAGAGTCAAGATGAATATCTGACCGACAGACTTCTTCTTTGTCACTAGTAGAATTGTCCATTATAGAACGAAGATGTGAAAATTTTGAACGTAATGCTCGAGCGATAATTGCACATGGATCAGTGCCACTGTAGAAAAATAAAAATAATGAAACTTTTCATGCTTACAGAAATGAGACTGTGGTGAAAATCTACTCTCTCTCTCTCACCTACACACACATATATACAAAACATTCTTACCTGATTGTAGGAGATTGTTTTTGTTTGATAGGTGTACCACCTGGTGATCTTGGTATTGAACGCAATTTAATAGATCCACTTTGTAATTCTTTTAACACTTGTGACATATCAGCAGGATTATGTACTGTTGACAAATTACTACTTTTCATTGGTGTAGATGTTTTATCGAGGGAATTATTATTCTGTTAAAAAAAAACAAAGATACAAAGTTAATTTACAAGTGAAATAATTTCTTCACTTAAATTAGAAAGAAGAATGAATATGAAATTAATAACATTTCCCATGGTTATAGACTTAACTTTATAACTTACTTTAATGAACTTCAACAATTAACCTCCATTATGGGTAAAAGCAAAACCCCTCCCCGAATAACAGCTTATCAATAGTTCAACAGAAATATAGTTCACATAAAATTCACCGAACTACCAGTAAGAAGTACATTAGTAGTTGAAAGTCAGTCAGTTACAACGTAGAACTTTGTACGTACGTACATTAGTTCATTTTGCCATACCATATTAACACAGAGATGCAATCGTCAATTCAAATCCCATAGTGATAGAGATAGTAGAAGTATTAGCGGTAATGGAAAATATTAGGCTTCAAAGAAATTATTCAAGAAGTATAATTCAGTCAAATAAATTTAAAAAGAGAAAGATAGAGGTGACGATTAGTAGTAGTTGAAAAAGGATAGAAAAATAATTACCGAAATATGTAACCAGTAGTTAAATATGACTAGAGATGATTAAAGGAATAACGACCAATATTCAATGATTAACTAATGTAATTGTCAAGTTAGTAGATGTAGGCTACCTGTTTGGGATCCGCTAGACGAAAGTCACCAATGGTTAGAGACCTTGAACGGCATGGCTCAAAATCGTTTGCAATGGCGCAAGTGAATCCATTCGTTGTGTTCTCTCAAATCCTAATCTTCTGGATTCGTCAGCACCTCTACCTTGGCATTCTAACCTTATCTCACAGAATTATACTTCTTGAATAATATCTTCAAACCCTAGTCTTCTTCATTACCATTAATACCTCTACTATCTTTATCACTATGGGATTTGATTTGACATTTGCATCTCTGTGCTAATGTGGTATGGCAACATGAACTTATGTACATACGTACGTAGTTCTACGTTACAATTGACTGACTAATGTAATTGTCCCAATATTCCAGATGACTCGCCAACACTACTCAGTATTCAATCGATGTAAATAGAGTTTAACCAGTAGGAAGTGTGACAACAGATAAGAAAATACTACAATTTAGGTACTTAATGTCACCTATTTTTCCTTTATTTATCTAATAAATTCAAATTATTAGACAGAAGATAATACCAGCTAAGAAAAATGAAATATTTAAGAGCTTGTATAGCGTGTAACAGTTGAAAAATGATAGTTAACAAATTATAAGAATTTTGATGTGATATGCTTTGGTCAATGAAAATAGCTACAGATCTACTTTTCTTCAACTGATATGAACTAGTGAAAACTACGCTGAAAGCATAAAAGTATCGGTTGACTAGCTTTTATTATTCTGTAAAAGGATAATTTAAATAAACATTGATAAAATCACACTATATTGGTTATGTACCAGTCAGCAGTAGAATGCAGGATGTGCGTTTGTCCTATTTAGGATTAGGTTCGCTGAATTCTACCGCTAATAGTTCACACACTTAAATATCCTACACGTTATTTACCGATCTACCGAGTTCAAACAGCTACAAAGTTAGTTACGTCATATGCGGCCACGGAAGAGATAGGGGTGTCACGAATTTCTTCTGAACACATAAATTGGGGTTGAATGTACGAATTCCTATGGCTTCTGCTATGTGTAGGAGACGGGATCGAACTCCGTTGGGAAATGATGGAGGTATACGATAGATCACTCGAAAAGATCTAGACTTATCTACAATATGACCACTATCAACCAAATGTGCTGAGATAGAACTGCGTATTGTTTTAAACTGGCCATTCATAAACCATGCTGGTAGGTGTTCACTCATTCGTTAATTAATTAATTCATTAATTGCTCTCATTAATCTGTCCTGCAGAGTATCGCGGGCCACATCTCCGTAGAATTGTAATTTGATAAATAGTGGCTTCTTTCGGACGGTCGAAATTACTGACTTCTTTTTTTCATCAACCATATACTACACACACACTTCATCGTTTAGTTTAACCGAATACAACAGACGATTATTAATGAGGGAACTCTCTTAGCTTCAAATTAAAAAAAGGGCCTAAATTTAGAAGGATCAAATTTCTCTAGACTATACCTTTTTACTTCTCAGCTTTGCTTGTAATTGTTCTCTCCAATTACTACTACTACCATTTGCTTCTTGTAATGCAGCTGACGAAATCGTGAACGGTGGTGGTGGTGGCGGCGGCGGTGGGGGAGGAGGAGGCGGCGGAGGAGGACAAGAAGGCATAGATGGTGTAGATGCGATTATTAATGTTGAACAAGTTGAACTAGCTGAAGGAATAGCAAATCCTGAAAGATTATTGTGAAGATCTATTTTATCACGTTTCAATAAACCATTAGGTGATCCAGAGAAAGCAGTAGTATCACTTTCACCATCTGCATCAGGACGATGAATAAAACGATCTCGATCTACATCAGATATACTTGATTTACCAAATTCTTGAGCTAAAATTAACTGAGCAACTTGTGATCTTAAATGAGAAATTTCAAGTTCCAATTGTGAAATACGATTTGATTTAGGTGATGAATGAAGATGATCATCGGAGCTGTCTGTAGTATCTGAAGTATTACTACTACTACTATTATCATAAAATTTGCCATTATTTTTAGTAGACTTTTCAAATCGTTTTCCTGTTTAATGAAAATATTTATTATTATGAAGAAACAATGTTTAAAATTAGTGAATTAATACTCAACAACAATAGAAAAGCATGTTTGCAACATATGAAATAGAATGTGTATTGAATAAGTCACAAGCATTCATTGTTCCACTATTTATGCAACAATTAAGGATTCTATGTGAGTTTTCGCTATAAAAATGATGAATACCATACCATACCTCGGACTTTTAAAACTCTAATAAAATAAAGTATAACTCAAAAGACGGTAAATTCAAGTATACAATTGTCTACTTCAATATATGCAGTAGTGGTTGTTAGTGTATAACAACAAGTTGGAAGAGACCAAGCCAAATATAAACGTAACACCAATATCGATTGACTAGTAGTGGTGTGGTGTGTGCTACTTATACGAACGATATAAGTAGTATAAGAAGGGACGTGAAAGAAGTCTCACGGTCAGAAGAGGAAAACGGAAAGCAAATGGAGCAAAAGCAAGAAGTAAATGGAGTACCAACAGGAATGGAAGAAGGATGGAGCGTTGGAAGTCACGACTCAAAGATGGTGTGCAAATAGTGTTCAATGTAATGTTTTCGTTTTTAACTGACTCAGAGTGTAAACTTGCCTAGTACAATCTTCGTCGCCTGCTTCAGTCTTCTCAGTGGGTATATGAGTCGTTGACATTTTTTTGTTTGCCATCCATTACTAATCATGATCAATGTTCCGGATTTTTCAGCACTGCTGTTATGACTTGAAATAGGTTGTAATGTCACAGATGTATTCACTTTATGTATTCTTCTTTAAAATCGAGACCTTTGCTTCATATGGTTGTATTTTCTGTGTCGTTCTGACCTTATCACTGTTTTAATAAGTTGAAACTCTGTCTTTAGTTACTGCTGCATCTTTTTCCTAGAAACCGGTGTTGTTTATCAATATAACACAGTGACTGATATTAATCACCTATTAGGTCGATTATATATTTCTCAAAGTGCTCCTCTAGTGGGCGTTTTAAAATTTGAACTCATGAAACATAATGGAAAGCACCTAACAAAACCAACTAATAATAACTATGTATTATGTTAAACAATACATCAAGTACAAATTTCTATTGTATCTGGTGCAGGGTCTCATACTTACAGATGCATAAAAGCTTACGAAACTACCAGTCCTGAGGGAACAAAACGAATTCATCTACCCCATGTACTGGAAACAGATTTATGTACTTGGTTTGATAAACACTTTAAGTGTGAGAGCTAGAGATACTAACCGGTTGCTTAAATCGAAACAGGTAAATTAAGGTTAAAGTTTGCAAGTTAATTGGTTGAAAGCACAGCATCTCAAGCATTTGATCACCAGTTCGCAGTGTTAAGTTAGAGATTAACATCATCGAGTGACGGCTCAGTGGCTGGGTGTTCACGCCAGAGATTGAAAGTCCTGGGTTCGATTCCAGCGTGCGTGGTCGTGGATACGCACTGATGAGAAGCCACATGCTAGGACGAAATGGTAGTCTAACTTGAATCAGTTCATGATTCTAAGTTAGATTCAACAATCTCCACAGTCCTATACTCACAATGGATTTCAATGCACAACATAATAAGTTAGACAGATTCCAACTGAAATGGAAGTAAAGTGGTGAATAAAGGAAAGTTGTGTAGGATGGAGATCTTTCGGTCCATTACGGTTTTCCATATGAGGGAGGGCGGCTGTCAGGAAGCATCCAATTCAATAACATGGGATGCAATCGGAAACGACTCAAGAAACAATACAGTGGAGACGCCACTTCAGTTATCTTCCATATTCTTCATAAAAACATACTTTTTAACTGAACGAAATTTTTTCTGGTTTTATTTTAATTGAACTGGTTGCCTACTAAATTAAATAACACTTTAGTTGATCTATTAGATTGATTACACGATCTTGACCTTTTTTCTTTGTCCTCACTATGTCGTCGTTTAACGTTGTGAAGAGCATTCCTTTTGGTGAGCTATTGTGAGATATCTCACAAATGTATTACTCATGAGTGTTCTAGTTGTGAACTGAAAGCAAATTATTCTCTTGCTGGTTGGTTTGATTTATCTGTCTGACCATATTGGACAGGTTATTTACGTACTTGTTAATACTGAGAATTCCTTAGTGTTAATGAGTTCAGCACCCTTGAATGCAGGTTTTAAGTTAGACTGATTGTTGTTTATTGTAATACCACATCATATTTATACCTAGATATGATCATATACTAATATTCTGAGAAGCGAAAACATTCTTCTGAATCAAACTGACCTCGACCGTGTTATGTCGGCAAATCTAATCTCTGTTGTACCGAAATTCTTGTATTATATAAGTAAGTGAATAAAAGGTATAGTGTCGTGACCAGTTTAATAGATAAGATTGCAACAGATTAATATTTTATGATACAGTACAATCTCAAGTATTTTGTATTCTCATCATTGCGACATGAATTAATAAGTAAATAACACTCTATGAATCCGATACATGAATGTTACTCTTCAGTGTGAATAACACTTTGTTACGGTGTATGCAAAAACAATGGTTTTCACAAGTGATTGATGACTGAGTAATGAATGGTTTGATGTTTGCCTAGTCCTTTAATGCTGATGAGATTTTATACATCATGATGTGATGTGGTCACTAGCCTAAATGACCCGAGAACTCACGCACTATGCTGATATGTTAAGTGTTTGGAGACAGTTGGCAGTTCGATCTACGCTTCGTACTACTTTGCACTGCTCCTAGACATAACATTGTCCTCGTCTGAATTTTCAGGAGTAGACCTTTTACCAGGTGACTCGCTTATTGACTTAGAATATGCCGATGACATTGTCCTACTTGGTGAAGATGCTGACAAAATGCAGAGTCTTCTGACTACCCTAAGCAACAATGCAAGCATGTTCGGGATGCGGTTTTCCCCCTCGAAATGCAAAATGTTGCTTCAAGATTGGGCTTCATCGGCACCTGAACTAGTGATAGGGAGTGAAGTAGTCGAACGTGTAGACCGCTTCACTTATCTTGGGAGTCTCATCAGTGCCGATGGCCTGGTGACTGACGAAATCTCAGCACGGATACAGAAGGTTCGATTGGCTTTTGCCAACCTGCGTCACTTATGGCGTAGGCGTGATATCCGTTCTCTAATTAAAGGACGAGTGTACTGTGCAGCAGTTCGCTCCGTTCTCCTATATGGCTGTGAAACATGGCCAGTTAGAGTAGAAGATATTCGTAGGTTACTGCTTTTCGATCATAGGTGTCTTCGAAGCATTGCTCGAATACCGTGGGACAACTGAGTGAGCAATGCTGTCGTTAGGAAACAAGTACTAGGTAAGGATGGGAGAGCAATCGATGAAGTGGTGAAACTTCATCAGTTGAGGTGGTTGGGACATGTGTTGCGTATGCCGAACCACCGACTGCCTCGACGAGCATTGTTTTGTAGTGTAGGAGTAGGTTGGAAGAAAGCTAGGGGCGGCCAAACCAAAACATGGCAGAAATCCATGAAGTCATTGACGAATGGACTTAGCCATGTCGGTAATTGTCGACTACCTGGTTGGGGTCCACGAGATGATAATAATCGATGGTTAGAGACCTTGAATGACATGGCTCAAAATCGTTCGCAATGGCGCCGGTGCATTTACTCTTTGTGTTCTCTTAAATCCTAATCTTCTGGATTCTTCAACACCTCTAGTTTTGACTTTCTAAACTTATCTCATTTAATCATACTTCATGAAAAATATCTTCTCATCCTAACCTCTCCGATTACTTCTAATACCTTTACTACTTCTTCTACTATTGGATTTGAATTGACAATTACATCTCTGTGCTGATGTGGTATGGCAACATGAACTGATGTACTTATGTACAAAGTTCTACGTTGCATCTGACTGACTGACTGACTACTTTGCACTTGTTGCCAAAACGTACATGCAATCTTGAGAAAATTGGTGATCCCTGTAGGATTCAAACTCGCGTCATCCAATTTTACATTTCGAGACAACAACTGCAGTAGTGACTAATGTCACGTTTTTCTAGTTATTTTTAATGCTGATAGATAAAAATCTTTTTCACTATATTGAGATGCTAGGTGGTTGGAACCAGTCAGTAAGAAACCCTATACCCAGAACTTCTTGATGATTGGCCCTAGTGATCCTTGGGGAGACTGATACATGTCGTGGGATTCTCTTAAGATTTCAGTTACATCTTACAAATAAGTGTCAACGAGCACAAGACCTAAGCTAGGATTTCGTACCAATCAGGTTTAACCATTTGTACAACGTAAGACTTAACATTCAATTTACCAAAAAGTATACGAAAAATCTTACATACCTCTTATTTTTCTTCGACGATACTTATCATTATTGTACTGAGTTTTGCTTGCTGATTTTACAATTAATTTCCGATTATCATTATCATTGGTATTGCTTTTTACAGATTTTGTTTGAAAGTTTGGTAAATTATTGTGCGCATTGGAAAATGAACCAATATAATGCACTGGAATATCAGCTGTTTGATAATTTTTCGAACTTTTAATTGAACTAGAAGTAGAAAAAGGATTTGAAACAATGTCACGATTTTCACTACAATAATGTAACGAATCTAAATGTGGATTTTGATTTTGTTCATCATAATGATCACCATCACAATCACTATTTTCCATAAAATCTGAATAACTTGAAGTATACACCTAAAAAAATATGATGCAAAAGAACAATTATTGTGATATAACTAAACAATGAAACTGTAAAAGCTCTAGTACTACTGGAATTCTTGTTGAAATTCTTTTTTCATTTACTTTTAATGGTACTGGTCTTGAGAATGATTAAAGAAGAATTGACTCTCCTTTTATGCATTCGGTAGACAACTATTAAGAGATCTAAAGGGAAATCCTATAACTATTTCATCCTTTTGCTTGCAAACTACACGGCTGAACGTAAATTGTACATCGATGTATTCTCATGATCATACTTTTAGATAGGTTCCCTGTTCCGTCATAGAGCTGATAGTTAATTCTTAATGCAGGAGACTCTAAAATGACATTTTTAAAGTACGCTCATCCCACTAATTTGGTGACACTACGTCCGAATACATTGTCAGGCAGCATTGCTAACACGATTTTTCCACTGGATGTCAATGAATCCTTGGAAATGGCGATGATGGAACTCATAAAGTTTTCAAACATTAGCAGCTCCAAAACGCTAGGTTTAATAAGCACAGGATAGAGCTAATCTCACTGATTATAAATAATCGAATAAACTCACAAAATATGGAGTGTAGATAATCTTGTACACGCGAAATAAACAATAAGTTCGAGTGGCAATAGTAAGTATAATAATAATAATAATAATAATAATAAGCTAATAAGCTTACCACATTAGAATCTATTGATGAACACTCACAGTCATCATACTGTTCTGAGTTCTTATTTAATACTTGACTAGGAATATTTAATCTTGGAGCTAATGAACCAGTTGGTAGGAATTTAACAACATATCGAATTGAGCAAAATAGACGTATATAAGTTAGCTAATAAGAGAACAGAAAAACATTATTCAATCATTAATTTGTTGTAAAGCATAGACGACTGGAAATCAAAGTAATAAAAATCGCAGCTTTTTAGTATATTTCAGATCTAATTTTACCTTAAACTGTTGTCAGTGATCTTAAAACGCTCAAAAAATGACCGTTGAATGGGTCTAAAGTACAAATGTTACAGATACTTATACTTGTTCACAAATATCTTGAACAAACCATGCACTCGTGTGTGGTAGATCTCCTCATTACATGCAGTTGATTTTACTACTTTTAAATACTAAAAGAAAACTAGTGAAGAGATTTGGGAATAGCAAGTGAAAAACGTTGTCTGAAAACTGTTCCCCATTGAAATCTAATATGTTGAATAGCAAAAAGCCTTCGTGATCAAATAAACTTAAGAGATTCTAGCAGTCACATTAAACTAAATGGGGAAATGTAGGTTGTTGATAAGTTGAGGTTCTTGAGGCAACTGAAATTAATGGTTCTACGAAGACCTAATAAAAAAGGTGTATCTATTTATCAACTTTGGACCAATTCATAACTTGATAGATTCTGCTTTCACTTTTGATGTCCTCCTCGTGATACTGTAAAGTGCAGCACAGGACAGCCATGCACAATTGTATCAGTTCACGTATTATTTTGGCTTTTGTTTATGAACTATTGAAATGCATTTGGTTTTGCAAAGACAAAAGAGAAATCAAGACACAAACCATTTCCAATTAAACAAGAGACAATATGAGTAGCCCAAACTTTAGGGCGCTAGTAACACTTTTACACAAGAGTACCTTCCGGAAGAATACAAATTTTATCAGAATCTTACAAAGTAGTGACACAAAGGTTTGCACCAGACTTACCAACTGTTTTAAGACCATATCGAGCGAGTACGTAGACGTCCTGACTGTTTGAATAACGATAAATTTCATGCGGAAAAATAAAAGACAACTTTTGTAAGACGAATTTTAATTATGAGGTTAGTGAAATATATAACATATTATTTCTATAAACAACAAACAATAACGAAAGGAACCCACTGAGTAAATAAAAAGAATGATGTTATAACGAAGTAGACTTTCTTTTGAACACCATTTTCTTGAGCTTTACAATCGCGTCTAAAAGTAAATTTTTACATGTATTGACCGACGATAAAATGGGGTTAGTATCACATCATTGAACAAAATCACCAGAATTAACCGTATATATTCAAGTATTAAATGGGAAAGCTTATAAAAATAAAGTCGTGTTGCATTATTTAGTAAAATAAGTGAAAAATAAAGATCCTATTTTGTGACTTTTGAGCAGCTGCTTACACACGTATTGCATTGAAGTGTAGCACTAACATGTGGTTATTAGTAATAATATCTATCTTAATTCTTTCCGTCATAGATGACGAAAATAGAAGCAGATAGCGTGAAGACGTGAAGTCATTACAATAATTTTACTTGAGCCTTTATTAAGTTTACGTTCTTTCTGAAGGTTCCTTGTGTGCTGGAGCAGTGTGAAGAGCAGTGTGAGATTATCTGGAAAAGGACAGAACAAGAGAAAAAGTGAACCAGGGACTCAGTGAGCACATAGAATGCACTTACTTTCAATCGAGAAAGCAATCGACAACAACCAAATATAAGAAACATGAGACTAAGACTGCCATGAGCTTTTTGAATGTGACTATACCAAAAAGGCGCGACTAACATCTAGAGGAGTGAGTGATGCGATCGAACACTTTCACACGCACTTTAAAACCCTATACCCTTTAAACGAGGGTAGCTAGCTTCTTATTACTTCGGTAGGGTTCTGTGTATTTGATTATATTCAATGGGTGGTTGTCTAGTGGCTCGACTATACTATTTCTGATCAGTTTAGCAATTATTTATGGGTTTACGTCTCTTATAATTTGGGTATGTATATTTTTCACAGGGCATTTGGGTTTGGTTTGGCTGAAGGAAAGTTGACTGTAATGTGGGGAATGGCAAAGAGAAAATTTTAATACCATAGAGGAAACAAACGTTTCGGATACCAAATGGATGAACAAACAGTTTGATCATTTGGTAATGCAGATATTGTGAGAGGACCCAAGTATAAGGATAAAAGAAGAAACAGGGATGATTAGCGTGTCGCGAATATTTTTTACATTTGATAGTCATGATAGCGGACAACTTACGAGACAAGCACCGGGTACAGCTGATCAAAGTAGGTTATAATAATTCACATGTAAGTACATGCTTGCCAAGTCTACTTCTGGGACTATTCACTGAGGACATTCCGACTGGGAGCGACTGCGAATTAGAAAAGTTGGGAGAGTCGTTATATGTTTTCTATTTGATGCTTACTTTTTCAGGAATTACCTCAAGGAATGTGGAGGTAATGCTGTGGCTGGATGCTCACGCTGAAGCTAACTGATGTACGTAATATGTTGTATGCCATTAGGAACCATTCCTGGGTGATGACGTCAAGCTGCCTTCACATAAAGTGAAGAGTTGTATCTACCTTAGGTGCAACACTTATGTAGTTTCCGCTGGTGTCCGGACTCTGTGGTCAGTAGTCTGAGATCGCGCTCTAAGAAGACATTCGCAAGCGGACTCCTATGAAAGGCATAAGTTACTTGAGTCTCTTGGGGCGGAATGTTCGTGACATGACAATCTTACTGTTTGAGCTCCAACATGTCTGCTCCCCATTCCTTTACTATTTTATGGTGGAGTACTTTTCTGTTCATATGAAACTCCCAGCTGAGTTGTCTGTACGAACTAGTGCTACTTGGCTGATGTTGTCGAACAGGTGACCAATTAATACCAGAAAGAGCAGCAAATCTAATATAGCTTCCCGTGAAACTTTATGTTTTGAGACCCTGTTACGGAACATCCTGTGCTTTGAACATTTTAGGAGCCAAGTTAAAAGTGGGTTTATAAAGCACACTTGCGCAACCTTAGCCATTAAGATTACGTGTGGCACTATTCCAGAAGCCTTTATGAAGTTGATGATTATTATGTGAACCGGTATTTTCGGTCTCAGATGCTACATCCTAATGAAAATTAGTTTAAGCGTAACTCAGAGAGCCAATCTGTGGATTGTTATTGCGTCTAGTCATATTGTGTAATTACTAAGTAACAAGATTACCATGTATATATTCCTTTTACCAAAAGCTACTCACTAACTCATAAATTACTATCACGCCATCTGCTCTTCCTATTTCGTTTCGAGTTTTTAATTTACACTCCCCCTTACTGACAGCTGATTCTGTCTTACTCATGTATAATTGTTATTTTCCATTTGTTGGTCTGATGCAACCTAGTATTGTATGTGTGTAAATAAATATCCAAGATGTATGAGCAGTCTTCATCTTGCGCTGATGACCATTGGCCTTCTGCTCTTCCTCGGCTTACATGGCTAGTTAGTAATGGGCAAAGTCGCCAGGCATAGGGTTACAGTTCTCTCTTCTCTGTTGCGTATCGATTGTTCAAAGATCGCTTCTGTATACTAGCCAACTCTAAGATATAATACCAGCAGGATGTAAAGCTGTCCCGTGCTTTGAGAAATTGGATGCTTAGGACATGCCTTTTCAAACCCGTGTTGGGCTTCACGGAAAATGTTATTTTGATCTATGTACTCTCGCATTTCCTGACTGATCATTCTGTCCATCACCTTTGACAGTGTTGGTAGTAGTGTGAATGGTTTGCAGTAGACTGGATCTTTCCTACCTCCTCCTTTATGGCTCGGAAAGAGTAGCCTGTTTCCACTGTTGGTGTGACTCCAGTGAATGCCTGAATAGGTCACATAACAGTGAACTAGTGGCTTTCGTGTACTACTCCAGGAATATAGAGTGGGTTTGTCACAACCTGGTGAATATCCTGGTAGCAGGGATTTATGTTTTCTTGTTATAAACCCAATAGTAGATTGTCTATTGCCCAGGCCGTTAGCTGGAGTTGGTGATCTGGTTTCATTCTTTTCCAGGGTTAGCGAAAAACACTGGACCCCAGTCAATGTATCATTTATTGCTGACGCATTCATAGATGTGAAGATTGAACACTTACCGTCGAGTGCGTTGATAAACTTTGTCAAGGATAGCTGAAGCCGACTGATTTGTGCATAAAACAGAACGGTCACAGACGGTCACTCTGGTTCATTCTACTCTCCTATTCCTTTTACCACCTAATAGTTAGCTTTTGCAGAAAGATTTTATATCTTAAATTAATCATGAATGAATCAATATTAGGCCACCATTAGAAACCTGGAAGCACTGGACGACCGTCTCGTCTCACTGTCAAACACTCTAGTAGCGCGTATCATCGGCTCCTGCCACTTGCAGGATTCGAGCCCTGGACCTTTTGGTCTTGCGCCTGAATTACTAACCTCTGGACCACTAAGCAGATATCTAACATTGTCATGTCTAACTCCGGTATAAAGTGTAGTGGTATTGAATACAATGAACATAAAATGAACAATGTTAACCCCAACAAAATGAACAGTTGTACGCATATTTATAACGCTTAAAATTCTACCCTAAATCGTGTTTGCTGCGTGCTCCGAACCAGCATACACATCTATCCTCTAGAACTAATATAGCTCTGAGGACAGATCGATTGCTGCCGTACCGATGGGATCGAATATGACTGAATATTCAAGTACGTCGATATCATCACTAAACGTTTAACTTCGACACTAACCCCAATTTAGCCGTATGACTGCATAGGCCACACATAAATCGTACGAAACATTACACGTTCTTCAGTATTGTCCCTAAAATAAAAGGAGTATCGTAACCCTCTTCAAAATGTACTGTCTTCTGGTGATCTGTTCAAAATCTCTCCCAGAATTACAACTGTAAAAAAATTATTTTTGGACAGAAAGGAAGCCCAGTAATGAAACTAGACATCTGAGGAATTCAGCATTCAGATTCATTTATGCCATAAAAATGTACTTTTTCTTCTCATCTAACCTAGAACAATATCAACTTTAATTCGAACAATTGGTTTCTGATTAGTGTTATAACACGGTTGCGTAAATAATTTGGATATCGCTATTGCAACATGCTTAGAGAACACAAGCGAAATAATATGCACCATAGATTTTCGGCCTGGCAGACCTAAACAATCTTTTCCCGTTTAGATTAGTCTAAATGGATTGTTAATATGCACAAAATGATTCTGATTTGAACTAACAAACAAACCTTTCAACGTTAAAATTGCAATCACAGGAAATATAAAGCCTACATTGAGTGAGAAAGTGAGAATACACTTTGGATAGAATATCTTAATCCTAACATGCCATATTCGTTTAACTCGTAACAGTCAACTCTGAAATTCTGATCTGCTTTTTACGTGAAGTGCGAACAACTGATACATTCGTAGATTATGAACAAAATCACGGGAAATCGAAAAATCTGATCAGGAACCAAAGTTTATCAGCCGTCAGTTTGAAAATGTTCTAACAATAAATATAACAAACTCAGTAAAGTAGGTCGATGAATTTTGACTATTTCACCTATCCCCTTTAAGGTCAAGGATAACCAACACATGCCAGTCAGTGTTCTGCTATGGACAGCTTACGAACTTAGTACATGCTGGCAAATTTTGATAGCATCTGTTCTAACCAGATCACTATCGGATAGACCGTGATACAAATCGCTTAGTCCACGAAGGAACAACCACCAATTCCTGTACTTTCCATCAACATTTGAATAGATGTGTGATGAAAACTCGGACATGTTAGCGAAGGAATCTACATGGCATGTAATTCATAAAAAACTGATTTAGAGATCCCTACATCTAAAAACAAAAAGAATTGTCAGAAATGCTGATAGGCACTTAGACAGATGTTGGATAACCAGGAAATGCAGTTAATCCTCAATGTTCGACAGCGATGAGCTCGCGTTTTTTAATAT